CACTAGCACACAGGGTCGGGAATAGAAAATGTGCATGGCACAAATGGTGAGCCTTTTTTTTTTTTGCTTGCAGGGTTGAGGATGTAGCCAGGGCCTGGCATGTATCAGGCAGTCCTCCCCACTAAGCTGCACTCCAGCCCCTCAAGACTACTCAAGGAGTGACCACGGGGTATTCACTTGTAACTGAAAGGCCTTTGGATGCCCAGCTCTCAACCAAGACAGCAGGCTCTGGAATGCTTGTCACATGCTCCTCAAGGGCTAGAAACACTGCTGCCTTGGAACAGCTTTCACTGCCCCACAAACAGCCATGTGGATCCCCAACCAGGGAGAGCTCAACTCCCTCAGAGCCATGTGACAGTCAACCCAGCAAGGCAATAGGTGCCGAGAGCACTGACGCACAGTGCGGCCATCCAAGGCCCCGCCTCCCAATGGACCACGAGTCAAGTCATACCTTTTTCATCTTTAATCACTGGCTTTATATCTTTTTCTTCCTTAAAAGAACTAGAAACAAAAGTTAATGTTATTCGTACACAAAAAAAAAACCAAAAGAAATCTAAATTAAAATTATGATAATGCACTAAAACTGAATACCTACCAGAAAATTAGTCTGAAATAAAATTTTGACAGACAACTTTGGAAATTTATATTGGAAAATCTGACCCCAAAAATACAATGTCAGATTCGTAAACATCAATTCGATTAAGCTGAAGATAACAATTAATTTAAAAACACAACCATAGTAGGTTGAGAAAAAGGAATCGAATCACCCATTAAAAATGCACAGGGAAATAAAACATCGTTGGGAAGTAAGCTAGAATTTCAGCAGTCTGGCTGGCCAATTGCAGATAAAACAGCTAGGTGTGTCATTAATGACCAATGGAAAAAGGAGATAGCGTCTGGTCTAAAACTGAGAAACAACAAACCTCATTTTCTGATCAGCGCCCTCACTGGTTGAGGACTCTTTAGGAGCCGGAGGGACTTCATTACAAGCTTCAAACTCAAACTTCTTCACGTCTTCTTTGCTATCTCTGGGCTCGGGGCTCGGGGCTTCCGTGGGCGCTTCCGCCAGCTCCTGGCTACAGGCCTCCGCCAGCTCGGGGGCCGCGCTACTCTGCTCAACTGGCTTCTCTAGCCCTACAGGCTCGCGGTCCGTCCTCGCGCCTTCGCCTGTCTGCTCCACGGGCTCCCTTTTCACTACCGCTAACAGGGTGTCTGCCTCGCTCCACTGAGCGCGCGGTGACTCGCTGGCCACAGCTAAATCTCCCTCCTCCTCCTCCTCCTGCTCTTCCTCCTCCTCCTCCTCTTCCGGATGGGCGCTGCCAAAAAGGTCCTCTTCCTCCGCCAGCTTTCTGTCTGGCCCCACGCTACTTGTATCCTGTGCAAATGGCTGCTCCAGCTCGGAACCTTCTTCTTTTACTGGCTCAGATTTACAAGTTTCCCCCAAAATGTCGAGTATTTTCTCATTTTCTACGGATTTAACAGGAATAGAATGGCACAAGGTTTAATTACCAGGGAAATAAAGCAATCACAAATGCGGAACGGGCACGGCTGCCACACTAACACCGAGAGAACTGCTAGCTACACAGAGATTGGAAAACCCGAGGTACACACAGTGACACTGTACACTACCTGCGCTCATGCCACCGGCTACTACGGAAGCCTCTACGCTATGGGGAGAGAAAAGCCCCCCAGATTTCAACACCTACAAGCGCGGGGCTGCTTCTCGACAGTCTCTTCAAGGTTTGCTCAAGCCTGTGTTCCATTCCTTCCCAATGTCCAAGGAGCTGAGGCAGATGTGGATGCAGATGCGGATGTGGATACGGATCCCTGAGCAGCTAGGCTTGCAAGTTCTTCTTTTGATGGCAGTCAGATGACAGTCCCAGTGAAAGCAAGCAGCTCTTCTGTCAGCAGGAGATAAACTCAGTCCAGAGGGAAATGGTCCATGGAAGCTTCCACGAGGAGCCTCGGCCTCTTCTTCTGGATTGAGTCCCTTGTGATTCTGAGCCCTGACGCCAGCCTAGCCTGCCTCAACTGCCTCAACGAAAACCACCGCAGCGCAGTATCACAAGATCTGTTTCAGGGGTGGCCGCACACGAGGTGTCTGGGAACTTAAATGCCACACTACACAGTGGGAGAGTCAAGCCATCGGCATATCTCACCCAATACGCTTGGCCTCAGGAGGCCAGAGCGGCACTTCCACAGATCTGGTGATACGCGTGGGTTTCCAATCTCTGGTCCTTGTCGGATGTGGACTGTCCACCGCTAGCGGCTCACGACAGCACAGCACAGCTTAGATAAGACAGGGCAGCGGGAAGACTGCCCGACCCCACTGCCGCGTGTCCCGGGTCAGTACCTGGCTCCAAAAGGGGCTCTTCAGCATCCTGTTCAAATGAGAAAAGAGGAAAGCGGAGCCACAGGTCACTGTGAACTACATAGACACAACTGTCAGTGTCTATGACTAGTGGCCCTTCAGAGCCTGTCAGTCCTGCATCACTGGGGCAAGCAGTGGGCAGAGGTCCTCAGGCCTGGCTACCATCTGTCCCCCCATTCCCAGTAAGCAGCCTTTATGGTTACGCAGCTGGCACAGACGCCCAGGCCAAAGCAGAGGTCCATGGCCACCATCCGTCACAGCTGGCTTTAGAAAAACATTTTCCCAGCACAAACTGCTCATCATAAGTGGAACTTGGTACCACTAAAAAGCCCGTCTCTCTGTCCTGCTGCGAAACCTGACATCCCACTCATTCATGGCCTCTCTGCAGCCCTAAGGCAAGCTGCTTGTCCCTGCGCCACCAACACTCCATCACACCTGGGTCACGTCTGACTTCCTCTGAGAATCCTCCAGTTGCTGCAAGTTCGGCCCCCAGCACACCCCATTCAGCATCAATGCTCAGCTCATCACTTTTCCATAAATGCTGTTATGCCTGGGATCTAAAGTGTCCCCCAAAGGCTGGTCCCCAATGCAGTGTTCAGAGGCGGGGCTTTTGGGAAGTGACTAGGTGATGGAGACTTCCCTAACTGAAAAGACTGTTGGAAGGTGGGACCTGAGTGGACGAAGTGTGTTCCCGGGGCAGGACTTTGATAGTCCACCTTGCTGCAGGCCCAAAGCAATGCACACAACCAACCATGATCTGAAACCTCTGAAACCATGGTCTAAAATCAATCTTTCCTGCATTACACGACTTCGCTCAGTGTTTGTCACAAGGAGAAGCCAATGCCTACACACTGTGCACTCATCTGTTTCCAGTGCAGCAGAACCAGATGGCAAAGCCACTCACCGGAGTTACTGTCCAGTCCGAGGGTGCCTCCAAGGTGCTCCGGAAGCCTTCCCTGTCCACCTGAGAAAGGAAACAGCATCAGTTGTGGACACCACAGCTGTGACCACCAAGGCCAACACCTTGCCACTTCCTAAGCAACCTTCACAGGGCCCTCACCACCTGCAGGTCGCTCCTTGGCACCCTGTACCCCCATGCTACTGCAGCAGCTCGCCTGATAGCAGCCACAGACTGCAGCAGCTCTGCTCTGCTGGGTCGGCTGAGTGTGAGAAGCTGCTGTCCTGTGTGGTTTCTAGGTACAGGGATTTCCATATCCACACCTTCCGCAGAGGAGCTCATGGCCATAAATACTTTACTGCTAAAATAAAGACTTTTAGCTTAAGACACACACTGAACTTAATCTCTCTCTTTTTACTATTCACCAGACAAAAGGAAAACATATCACCACAAAGTTCTCTAAATATGAAGGCCTTCACTTTTTTTTTGGCTTTTGCTGTGCTGGGAAATGGACCCTGGAGCTTCAGCCACGCTGGGAAGCACTCACCATGGAGACAGCCCCAGCCCTTGGTTTCTGGAGATAGAATCTTGCTCTGTAGCCCATATGCTGGCATGGAACTTGACACCTTTCTGCTTCCAGTGTGCTGGGGTCACAGGCAGGTGCCACTGTGCCCAGCTTCAAGGTCTTTTTTCTGTTTAAGTGAACTAGATTTCAACCTAGAACGGGTGCCTCCACTGCTCTGACAGCACTACACTGAGAGGAGGGCAAAGCAGGTGCTTCAGGCCAAGGTGCTGTCCTGACCTCTGACCACCTGACTGCAGGGTATAAATTGGTCCTCTGTAGCAGTTCTCCCCCAGATTGACAACTCTTAACGTCTTACTGAATGAACACCCAGGCGGATTCACATGACACCAGCACAAAGACCAAAGTGCCCACACAGCCTGCATGGGAGGAGATGCCTGCCCACCTCTGCACAGGGCACCAGCCTCACTGGAACAGGGTGCCGGCCACCTGACCCCTCTGTGCGAGCTGTCCACAGATTTAAGGAGAACCCGCCTTCATAAACCTTATCAGCCGTCTAACTTATGACATCCACCCTGTTAAGAAGAGCCCCAGCCGAACACCCTGGCAACACTCACTGTGCTACTGAAAAGCTATCTGCACTTAACACCTGACCTGCATGGAGCTTAGACAGTGTTTAACAGTCCAGGTCTAGACATGACCGCGGGCTCACGGGGACCTAGCTGGGCTCCCCCGCATCAGCAGCCCTGGCCGGCAGGGGAGCCTCGGGGCTGCTCGCACACCCCACGTGGCTCCAAGTTACCTACAGCATGATCCGCGAGCTGAGCTGGAAGCTGTCCCAGCTGCGCAGCCACGTACTCTTTACTGTCACAGAAGGAATCGAGGATGCTGTCTTTGGCACTGTCCTCCCCAACGTCGGGAGCACTGCTGTCCTCAGCTTCAGGTCTGTCTAACACGCTCACGCCCACCACGTCCATGTCCTGGAAGCTCTGCACACTTGCATCCCTGTCCTCCTGGGGAGGAGTCAGAGGCATAAGTGACCTGAGGGCCTGTGTGCAGAGCTGCTGCAACTGCAGCCTTCCCTCTGCCCCACCTACCTGCCCATCTCTGGAATCTTCTTCCAGGCCGTTATCTTCAGTGTCTTCCTCCTCCGTCTTCTGTCCTAATTACAGAGTAATTGCTGAGTCAGGTCACTCTCAGGTGCCAGTCTCAGAATGTTTGCCCAGGACCACAGATTTCACCCTTACTCAGAGCATGGAAGAACAAGGAAGGCCAAAAGTGGTATTGTATTCTTCTGCTGTATGTCATTTTGTTAACTGGTGCTATGAATAGGCCCTCCGCTAGGACAGGACACACCAAATCCAGTGCTGCAGAGCAGCCACAGGCTTCCAGAGACATCAGAATCCCCAGACCAGACAAACATCCCCAATGAGAAAAGACCGCAGGAGAGACAGGCATTTGCTGGTCAAAGACTGCACCAGATGCTAACACAGCAGGTGGGACGTGGCTCACTAGAGCATGTTCCTAGTGTGCTGAGACCCTGGGTGCCAGCCCCAGCGCTGCAGGCCAGCATGCCTCTCCAAACGGACAATTCCTGAACTTCAAATCTCAGCAAGACTTGAAAGGAGGGAAATCTCTGGGCAGTGGTGTTTCAAATCCTTTCAACTGCACACAGCCTTTGTTTCCAGAACTCCGCTTTTGGACACTCACTAAAATATCTAAGGAAATCAAAATTCACGTAGTAACTCTATCTAAAGAGTGGATACAGGGGCTGGGCATGGTGGCTGACACCTGTAATCCCAGCTCCATGAGAAACAGAGATTGGGAGGATGGATGGAGGATTAAAGCGAGGTAGGACAAAAAGTTAGGGAGAACCCATTTTAACAAGTTGTACATTGTGGTTCCCTTCCACAATCCCAGCTCTCAAGGCGTAAATAGGAGGATCAAGTGCAGGACCCTACCAGAATAACTAAAATGAACATACCCAGGGAGGGGCTCAAGTGGTAGAGCACCTGCCTAGCAAGCCTGAGGCCCTGAGTTCAGCCCCTCCCCCCAAAAAAGGAAACCAAATTGAGCGCATTTGCATTCATGCATGGCACACCAGTATGTGTGTGGGGGTAAAGTGTGAGGTATTTCTTGTCACAACTGTGTAACTGCAGGGTGGTAAGTGGCACCTGGTGGCCAGCGATGCTGCTCTGTCACACAGCACTGCTCAGTCCACACCATCAGCAGTGCCCCTGCTGTGCCTTGTAACCTTCAAAACAATGGTGATTTCAGAGAACATCTAAGGCCTGGCACCGGTGGCTCACACCTGTAATCCTAATTACTTGGGAGGTTGAAATTGGGAGAATTAAGGGTCAGGGCCAGCCCAGACTCCATCCTAAAATAACCAGAGTGAGGGCTGGCAGAGTGGCTCAAGTAAGAGCGCCTGCCTAGCAAGCGTGAGACCCTGAGTTCAAACTCCATTGCTGCCAAAAAATAAAATAATTAGAGCAAAATGGGCTGGAGGTGTGGCTCAAATGGTAGAGCACACTTTACAAGCAAGAAGCTTAGAGTTCAAACCCTAGTTCCAACAAAGAATAATATCTAAATACACAGGAAAACCCAGAAATCAAAAGACAGCATGTGCAAAGCCAAGCGTGGTGGGGCACACCTGTAACCCCCATACTAAGGAAGCTGAGGCAGGAGGTCTGTAATTTGGGGATCAGCCTGGGCTATGCAGTGAGACCCTGTCACCAAGGGCCAGCTTTTCAGGGTTCCATCCTGAGGGAGGAGAGACATCTCAAGAATGTAAACATATAGAAACCTCAATTTTTGATGATACAAACTGCAACTTCTGTATTTTAATGTGGGTAGTTCTATCACCCATCAGATCCCATGAGTTTCACATTTTATCATTTGTGCCTGTCAACAATGCTGTCAGGTTTTATTTATTATGTGCACTTGTCAGAGAATAATTCAGCTCCATGTCATTCAGCTGACAACTCAACTGTCTCCCTCCCCCACCCGTCCCCCCCCAATTTTAGCCAACCCAGCCTCTACGTTTCAAATCCACCATCCACAACATGTGTTGATTGTACCAACTCCTGGCCTGCAGAGTGACACAGGGTGTGAACAGCACATGCACGCCAAGAGCTTCCTACACACTAGCAGGACAGAGAGACCACAGCTTCGCAGACAGGCAGCACTGATGCTAAGCGCTCGAATGCATACACAAAAAACCTGAGCTTCGGTGCCACACCCAGTGCAATTCCAGCCCATCATCGGCATAGCTCAGATCCCACCAACTAGCTTCCAGAAATCTTGCCTGCCCGCTTTTTCCTGTGGTGATGGTATGAAGGGCCTGCGATGACATGCAAGCCACGTTCCAACTTCGCTGCATGGAAGCGGCGAGAGAAGAGCCTTGTTTCGAGCTACATGGGGTGCAGCTCTCACAACCTCTGGTGACACTGTACTCTTAGAGGAGGCAGTTTTAAATTCCTGAAATTCGTTCAACTTTGTTGCAGAGTTGGAAAACAGGGGTTGGGGATTTAGCTCAGTGGAAGAGCACTTGCCTGGCAAGTGCAAGGCCCTGAGTTCGGTCCCATGGGAAACATGTAACTCTCCTGAGCAAACACTTTGTCAGCATTCACAAGAACCTATTTCAACGTGGAAGCCAGTGTAGTCCACGCTTCACACCGTGAACCAGGCACCCAAACACCTGGGAGACCATGGCCGCACAGACTGAGCTCTAAGAACCCGCCCACCTCTTTGGGCTTGGTTACCTGTTGGAAGCAGAGAGGACAAGAACCCTTCTCATCAGACAAAGGTTCCAAGCAGCAACAGTGCGCTCTACACCAACCCTTCAGCTAGGGCTGCTCTAATAGCCCCAGTGCCCCTCATAGGAGCCAAGGAAATTTTGAGTAGCATGTCAAAGCTCACAGCTTTATTTATTTTATTATTATTTTTTTTATTCATATGTACATACAATGTTTGGGTCATTTCTCCCCCTAGGCTCACAGCTTTAAATGAGCGCCTACATTCAAAAGTTTTAGTTGAGGGTTTGGGTGAGTGGCTCAAGCAGCAGAGTGCCTGCCTTGCAAGCATGAGAGCCTGAGTTTAAACCCTGACACTGCAAAAAAAAAAAAAAAAATTTTAGCCAGTAACTGGTGGTTCACACCTGAATTTCTAGCTACTTGGGAGGCAGAGATTGGGAGGATGGAGGTTTGAGGCCAGCCTGGACAACTCATTCTCAAGATCCCATCTCCAAAATAACCAGAGTAAAATGGAGTGAAAAGAGTAAAAAGGAGGTGTAGCTCAAGCAGTAGAGAGACTGCTTTGCAAGTGCTAAGTCCTGAGCTCAAACTCCAGCCCCACCAATAGTTTTAAACTACATGGCTAAATTGTTCCCACAACTATTTAAAAGCATACTTTTTAGGGCTGGGGGCGTGGCTCGAGTGGCAAGGTGCTTGGCTGACATGCGCAAGGCCCTGGGTTCAAATGGCAGTGCAGAACAGGAAAGGGATAGGACGAGAAGAATACAAAGAAAACCCCACTTCAAATGGTGAAGAGCTTACCATCTAAGCAGAGGAGGGGTGGATATGTTTGCTACCTGGCCCACCCATCACTACCTGTTCAGTGAGTATGTTCCTAGCTGGAACACAGGCACTTTCCAAAACGACAAAAATACATCAATGTCTTAAAATTAAATTTTAACTCAAACTACTTACGCAACCTAACTAAAAAATTTAATCTTTCAAAACATGTGCACAAGCTTCAAACAGATGTGTCAGGGAAAAGTTGCTCATCCAAGAAAAGCTGCTAAAAACACACAGAAATTGTTGAAAATGATACAAAAAAAAAATTTTTTTTTTCTAAGCACAGCTGTCCTTCACAATTCAGCACTTCTTCAGATGAATGGGATTTTACATGGCACCTTTTTTTTTTTTTTTTTTTGTGGTATTGTGGGTTTGAACTCAGGGCCTACAACTTGAGACATTCCACCATCTCTTTTTTGTGATGGGTTTTACTTTCAAGACAGGATCTCCTGGAACTATGTACCCAGGCTGGTTTCAAACTTCGATCCTCCCGATGTCTGCCTCCTGAATAGCTAGGATTAGAGGTGTGAGCCACCGGCACCTGGCACACAGCCCCTTTCAAGAGAATGAGCTGGGGGTGCAGCTCAGTGGTAGAACACATCCACTTAGCATGTGGGAGGCCATAGGTTTCATCCCCACAGCACAGAAAGCAAAACCACCTTGCTCACCACCCAGGAATCTCAAATAGTGCCATCCTTGTTGCTAGAAAACCTAACAGCGAGGGCAGCAGCCAATTAGGACAGTCAAGGTTTCAAGTTTTATGAAATTCAATTCCTCCAAAAATAACTGGGATCTGGGATTGAAGGAATGAGGTCCTGACACAGGTTCCAACAACGATGAGCCTTGGAAACATCAGCTCAGTGAAAGCAAATGGCCCAGACTGGGCAAGTCTCCACGAGCAGAGGTGGTGACTGCCAGAGGGGATAGCTGTGACTGCTGGTGGACATGGGGTTTACTTTTGGGGGATGAGAATATTCCAGAACTGACACAGTAGTGGTGTTGCCTAGCCTTGTAAAGATACAAAACAGCACTGAACTGTCCATCTGAAAGAATTTACAGGATTGTGAATTATATAGTGATTTTTTTTAAATGCAGGCGGTGTGCAGATACCCCAAGGGATATCTTGTCTAGTGGGGTTCTGCTGGGTCTCAGGTTGGCGTCATTTTTCTTGGCTGAAGACCTCATTTTTGAGCAAGGAAGGCAGGAAGTAGGGGCAACATTTCATCCCAGAGCAGCTGGGGAAGGAGAAGGGTGGGCCTGGGCCGGTTCTGTTCTAAGCCTGACAGAACCAGCTGGAGCGTTTCCCAAAGGCATCCTACTTTACCCTAGCACCTCCCCTCATTAGGTGGCAAAAAGCTAGGCTACTTCTCAGACCTGAGCCACTGAGGCCAGCACTGGGATGGCACTCAGGACGCAGGCCTGGGCAGCAGTGTCCCAGCAGGTACCTTTGGCACATCTCTTTGCAGTCCTCTTGCTTGTTGTTTCCAAGTCGATGCCACCTTCCCCAGGATCCTGCCATTCCTCCTGAACTGCCTGTTAGGAGAGGATGGATAGTTAGGAAGAGTGGGCTTGCATACGCTATTCTTTCTTTTTATGTGGCACTGAGCTTTGAACCCAGGGCCTACACTTTGAGTCACTCCACCAGCTCTTTTTTATGATGGGTTTTTTTCAAGATAGGGTCTCATGAACTATTTGCCTGGACTGGCCTCAAACCATGATCCTCCTGATCTCTGCCTCCTGAGTAGCTAGGATTACAGGCGTGAGCCAATGGCGACCGGCTCCTGCTGTTCTAAGTAAGGACTTCCCAACACATTAAAGTAAAGGAGATCTTGACGACAGCAACTCTACTTCTGCTATTTGGGCTGCAGATCCAAAAAGTACAGGATGAATCCAGCACAACCTGGCCCTTGACAGGTCCAAAAGATAAAGAACAGGGAGGCTATCAGCCCAGGCTGCAGAATCAGGGTCAATGACAGTCCCCTAAATGACCAGCCCCCTCCCATAGCCAAGGCTTGTCCTGGAAAGTTATACGAGGGGACAAGTACTGACAGAGAGACTGCAATAAGCCCAGCCAGGGCAGAGGGCTGAGTGGGGGGGGGGGTCCACCGGGAGAAGTGGTTATTTTGCTCCACAGGTGCGTGCCACCTGCTCGGTGCAGGACTGAGACATCACCAGGTCCCTACCCTCCTCCAGCTGTCCCACATGCCCAAGTTTGTGCTAAGTTTTGCAAAGAGGAGCACAAACACGGGGCGATAAGATAAGCAGGGGCAGGGTGGTGACATCTCAGGCAGACCCGGAACAACAGACTCCACCCTGGTAACCAGAATGGAGTACGTGGTTGGTGCAAAGGCCCAGGGGTAGCACCTGTCGCACTCTCCTCCAGCGGAAGAAGCCGAGGTGCAGCAGAGAAGGGAAAACACCTAGCCAAGGTCACGGAGCCAAGTCTCCAACCTGAGCCGGGGGGACGGGTCCCAGGCCACCCTGATCCCCAACAACCCCGGGTTACATGCACTTGGGACATCTGACTGGAAAGCGAGGCTCGAGAGAGGGGCAAGTGACGGGCTAAGGTCGCATAGCCGGGTCCCCTGGTGCGGTGGCGCCCCGAGTCGGGGATCGCGGTGACAGCCCGCCTCACCTTCCTGAGCCGCTCCATCAGGACGCTCTTGTTGCCGCCCGTGTCCAGGTTCCGCTTCTTCAGCTCCGCCCGCAGGTCAATCACCCGCAGGTCGCAGAGTCGCCGCGTCCCGGTGTCCGAGGCGCCAGACCCGAGAGCAGTCGTACCACAGCTCGAGTCGCCCGACCCTGCCAGAGTCTCCGCCATCCTCGCTTCCCCGGGCCCGCCACAGACTCAGTCCTACACCGCCAGCGGCTGTAGCGGCTCTGAGCACAAAATGGCGATGCCTAAGAGGAAAACGCACTCGCTTCCTCCCGCCCCGCTTTACGGCCGCGCATGCGCGCCGGTCCTACGCGCGTTCTCAGCAGCCGAAGCGCTCGCTCGCTGACAGACGCTATGTCCCCTGCCTCAGTGCGCAGGCGCCTAACTGCAGCACGCATGCGTCACTGCCTCAGGCAAAGGGAGGCCGACAAGGCTCAGCGCGTCTGCGCACCCCTCCCTCAGGTTCCCAACGCGCATGTGCAGAGGCGACCGGCAGCGTCGACCTCGCGCCGGGTGCGCCTGCGCAGAAGTGAGGCGCGCCGGGGAGGCTGGAGCGGTTCCCTCTCAGGCGGCGCCATTTTGTGCTAGGAGCCGAGATAAAACCGGCCCGGTTGTGTGTGAAGTGGACGGCGGAGCCAGGGTCCCTGGAATGGCGGAGACTCTGTCGGGTTTAGGAGATTCGGGTGCGGCGGGCGCAGCGGCTCTGAGCTCCGCTTCGTCGGAGACCGGGACGCGGCGGCTCAGCGACCTGCGGGTGATTGACCTGCGGGCGGAGCTGAGGAAACGGAATCTGGACTCGAGCGGCAACAAGAGCTTTTTGATGGAGCGGCTGAAAAAGGTAGGGCCGGGGCCCCGGGGGTGGGTTAGGAGCCCCGCACCGCCGCGGTGGCCCCGGGTCCGCCCCCGGGTCGACCCCGCGGCCTATGTCCGGCCCGGCGCCTGCGGCTCCCGGCTGCTTCCAGGCCCCGCGGGAGCTGCGAGGCCGGCCGTGCCCGAGTTCAAATCCCAGCGCCGCGCTGGGGCGAGGAAAAGGAGGGAGGATGCGGAACCCGGACTGGAGCAGCGGTCCTCGGCCGCCGTCTCTTCCCGCACCGGTGTGGGGAGCTGCGAAGTCCTCTCCTGGGGGTCGGGACGAGGGACAAGGCTAAGGTCACACTGCGGGACTTGAAGCCAGGCCCGGGTTCGGGGGAGAGGCTCCCGGACTCGCTGGGGGCCGCAGCCCGAGAACATGCCCCGGATGAGGGAATGGCGAAAGGAAAACCTTGCGATAGCCTCGTACAGTGACGGGGGAAGGGACGTGGCAGGCAGAAGGAGCCATTGTCGGCGGTCAGAAATGACACGTTCGGTTCGGTTGGACTTTTCCAAAATATCCTCAACTCCCCCAGAGGCGGGCAGAGTGGGTGTCCGAGGATCATCTGCCCGCACTGGGGACCCTTGCCAGGCCCCAGTGGCCTGATCGTGGGTGAGGAAGACTTGAACCCCTTGTGAATCTTTTCTTTTTCCAGAAAGGAAGAGAAAGAGAGAAGGGGAAAGAAAAAGGAAAATGGTATTGCGTTTGCTTTCGGGCTAGATGAGGTCACGTGGACCAGCTTGGCCTGTTGCCTGGCACATGTAAACAAATTTGACTCTCTGTGCCACCTTTTGTTGTTCGTAGCTGGGGACTCCAACCTCTCCTTTGGGGTATTCTGAGGACTCCCTTTGCAGTAACACAGTTAAATGTCCTGCCCTTGTTGGCCCTTGTGTTTTCCTCATCACTTGGGTTGCATTTCCACTCTCCTGTCTCCCTGCTGAGGTCTTGGGATCTCAGCACCATTCTCTGCCAGGCATAGATCAGACATTTTGTGTTTGTTGACACTTGTTATTAAGAAACCTGGGAAGACCACCTGCTTGGCTAATGAAGACTTAGTCTCAGAAGTGGGTACTTGATGTGCCCAGAAGTGATGGGGCCTTTTCAGGACTCCATCTCCTGTTTCTTTCTCCATGGATACCAAGGCTTTACTGGGCAGGAAGTTTGCTGGCCAAGATTTATCTGGGGAAACTGCTAGGAAGGCAGAGGGAGCAGCTGGGAGATGTGCTCCCCGTTCTTAGCCAGCAGGGCCTCCCCTCAACCCAGCCCACTGGGGAGGGTTGTCCTTGCCTGCACAGCTGCTTCCTTGTCATTAAGCTTCCCTGTCAGGCTGGTGGCGGACAGCAGCGTGACTTCAAGAATCCTAATCCAGCCAGTTGCTGGTGGCTCACGACTGTAATCTTAGCTACTCAAGTATAGACCAGGAGGATCAGGGTTCAAAGCCAGCCCCAGGCAAATCGTTTCTCAGACCCTATCTCAAAAAACCACAAAAGGGCTGGTAGCGTGGCTCAAGGTGTAGACTCTGAGTTCAAATCCCAGTACTACAAAAAAGAAAAGAAAGAAAGAAAAAAATATGAACCTGTCCAGGTTTCCTTCTCCCTCCTTTTAGTTTTTGAGAGGAGTAGTCTCAGTACAGACAGAAATACCACCCTTCCAATAGCTAGGTGCTGCCCTGCCTGAGCAAGTCTGTAGTCACTGCTTTTCTCACCACATCTGTTGCCAGGTGGTAGTCCTCTTACTTTTCCAGGAAGGGCAAAGGAGCAATTGGTGGAGGGATTTGCTAAGGCTTGCAAGGATGGCTTGGTGTGTAGTTCCCAAGGGATGACCTTAGAGCCCTGTGCCCAGTAGTTCCCAAGAGATGACCTTAGAGCCCTGTGCCCAGGGGTAGAATGGGACACCTCCTGCCTTGTGCAGTTCTGATCTGGTGATGCTTCAGGATTGACTATCCCCAGCAGGCGGGCAAGGGACCATTCCCTATTCCTGACATCTGGAGAAGAAGAAGGTTTGCTTTGCTGCTGGGACAGATTAGGTGTGCAAGCCCATGCCTTGTTCTGAATTCGTACATCAAGCTGACAAGCTTTTAAGAACCTTTGAGACTGCTGGGCCTGCACAGTGTTTCAAGAGGGCTTAAGTGAGACTTGGGGGTTAGGGGTGCAGCTGCCTATTATGTTTGAGGCCTTTGCTGGGACTGATCCTTAGTATCACAAAAACAAATGGGAACAGGAGCTCGCAGTAGAACAGTGCAGCAGGGGAAGGTCATCGCTGAGGGCTAGTGTTGCCATCACACTATCAGTGTCACGATCAGTGCTGATTTGCCAAGTGCCGGCCACTGTGTGGGATTGGGGGTGCACTAGTCCTCTGAATGGCAAATTTTTGGGGTGAGAGGCAGGGCTTGCAAAGAAATCCTTTCAATTATGTGTCCTGTGAAGCAGGGCCACTGAGTGAGAGCACGCTTTTACAGAGCAGCCGTGGGTAGGTGGGTGGGATTGGGATTAGGGGAAGCAATGCGTAGTGTGTGTGACCCATGCTTAGTCCACAGAAGGAGCTCAGAGAGTGTGAGCATTTTGTTGTCTCCAGATAGGCCCAGGGACGGGCATGGTGTAGAGGGGGCTGTAGCGCTGCATTATTACACAGCACAGTGCTAGGTAAAGCCAGAGGAAAATTCGTGCTATCGCTTGAGTTCTTCGGGGCCTGGGAATACCATGAGTGCACGAGCTCTTTGTTTGTTGATTGTTTGCTTTATGTGGATAATAGAGTCCTTGCAACAGCTTGCAGAATCAAAATACTGTTATTTGCCCCATGTTCTAGAAAGAGAACTCAGAGTGATTAAGTAAACCTGCCTAAGCCCACACAGCTAAGAACTCTCCGAATCCTCTGCCTCCACAGTCCTTGTTCTGTGGAGAGCCAAGGAGCAAGTGATTAGGCAGGACAGATGCTCGGTGGGATGACAGTGTCCTCAGTTCTCCTAACTGGGTTCCTGGCTCACCTGAAGGTGCTGTGAGAGTGAGTCTGCATTGTGATCTTTTGTTCTGAGGTGGGGCTACCCAGGCTGGTCTTGAACTTGTGAATTCAGGTTGTCCTCTTGTCTCCTAAGTAGCTAGGATGTGCTCATCTCTGCCTGGCTGGGTGCTGACTTCCTTAGTCATCTTTTCTTTTTCCCCTTCTTTAGGCAATTGAAGATGAAGGTGGGAACCCTGATGAAATTGAAATTACTTCTGAGGGAAACAAGAAAGCGTCAAAGCGATCCAGCAAAGGTATTGAGGATTTGATAATTGTGTGTGCAGGCCTCCTTTGTGTTTGGGCCCTGTGGCGGCCACCTGTGAATTGAGCCTTCTGGGAAGTTCTTCTTTCTCTCAAGGTCTCTCCCCTGTGTTCTGTCATCATGGGGCTGGGATTTCTGGCCAGGGGTGGCAGGGATGCCTGTATCTTTATCTGTTGGCCCTGTAGAGTGGTCGACGTCTTGTGCTTTTCCAGACCTGTCAGCTTGAAATAGATAATGTTAGGACCTCCTGACTCTGCTATTGCTCAGACCAGCAGAAAATTATTTCCTCTTACGTAGCATGTGACCAACACAGAATTGTCATATTTTTTTCAAAAACTGCTGCCAGAAGAAAAGCCACATGGCATATGACATGATTGATCTGAGCCATCTGACCCAGCCCCCACCCTACCCCCCACTTCTTGCTGCTCATCCTCTTGGCTCTCTGTGCCCTAGCTCCTGGGCTCTGCCCACCTCTCTTTCCTATCTGTCTGTATTCAGGCATGCACAATTCAGAGAAAGGCAGCTTCTGAGACCGTGAGTAGCAAGTTGCTCTCCTCAGGTTCTTTGCATTCTCAGGGCCTAGCTCCTAGAACCTTGATGTGATGCTTCTGTCCTCCTGTTTTGTGTGGGGACTGGGTTCTTGAGGGTGGGACTGTGTCTTGTCTTTCCTCTCTGCTCAATAACTTGTATGAATTAACTTGAGGCGGGTGTTGGGACCATTCCAAAAGTTCTTTTGATAATTGAAGGCCTTGTTGCTCAGACCCCAAAAGTGCAAAAAATACTGCTGTTCCCTGGCCATAGCAGGGATGGGGTCAAAGTGGTGACCCAGTGTCAGCCATGCTGTTTGGGGTAGGCACTGGCAGAACAGCCCCAGTGACCACTGTTTCTCCTTTGCCAGAGTAAATGTCTGTGTTAAGGGAAAAAGTACTGGAAACTCAACAGAAAGACAACTTGCTGGGGAAGGATAGTGCTGGGCATCTCCTTTTTTTGCTTTCTATCCCCTTTTCTTTTGGTAAAAACAAACACCTGCACTGAAGTTTTGTCAGGTATGTATGTGCATTGAGGTAGAAAAGAGAGGCTCCTGCCCTGTCAGGAGGCAACTCTCTAGTAGAAGTTGTAACATGCTCTCCAGACTGCATCTAGTCATTTAAAAGTCAGTATATGCTGGGCGCTGGTGACTCACACCTGTAATCCCAGTCACTCAGGAGGCAGAGGTCAGGAGGGTGGTGGTTTGAAGCCAGCCCAGGCAAATAGATTGTGAGACCCTATCTCGAAAATGCCCAACACAAAAGAGGGCTGGCAGGGTGGCTCAGGTGGTAGAGCGCCTGCCTAGCAAGCGTGAGGCCCTAAATTCAAACGTCAGTGCCACCAAAAAACAAAGTCAGTATATAAATATGCACACACCCTCTTATGCATGTAGTTTTTTTTTCCTTAAAAGAAAAGTTAGGGTTTGGACATGATGAATCACATGTTTAATCCCGACTACTTTGGAGGCAGTGATTGGGAGGATTGTGGTTTGAGACCACCCCAGGCAAAAAGTTGGCTAGAGGGCTGGTGGTTGTCTATAAAGTGGGAGAGTGCTTGTCAGTCAAGTGTAACACCCTGAGTTCAAACCCCAGTGCTGTCAAAAGAAAAAAAGCTGGTCCTGCTATACAAAATCTTCTGTAATTTGCTGTTTACCAGTCAGCGTGGTGGCAATGTTTTTACATGGTGCTACAAATAAAATAAGTAGGCCTACCTCCTTGAGCAGCCAGACAGCAGCTCCTCGGTATGAAAATAGTGACACTTGTCAGGCTCCTCATTACTAGTGTCTTTTGAGGTTTTTTTCCCCTGTTATCATTTGCTGTGAACCAGAATTTTTTCTTAAAGTTAATATGTTTGTTCTTTGGGTTTTGTTTTTGTTTTCTAGCCTGGGTTTCACTATGCCATTCATGCTGGTCATAAACTTCTGGGATCACGTGAACCTCCTGTCTCAACTTCCTGAGTAGTTGGGATGACAGATTAATGGACCTGGAAAAGAAATATAAAGAATTTATTTTTGGTGGGACTGGGGTTTGAACTCTCTCAGGACTTGGTGCTTGAAAAGCAGGTGCTCAACTACTTGAGCTACACCTCTTACCTGGAATATATGTGTATCTGTCTGTATATATACTCTTTTTTTTTTTTAAGTTAGTAATAGAATTTAGGGATCAGACGATACAACATTCTATTTTAAAATAGCTACCAACAAATACCTCTCCAATAGGCTGTACTGGTTAACATCTTTACCAACAGTGTGGTGGTGTGTCTAGCTCTTTAAACTCTCACTTAATGCTGAGTGCTGTTTTCAGAGTTGCCTGTTAGAAGAAAAGTGTTTCAGTTGTGCTCATCTCTATTTCTCTTCTGGGAGGCTCTCGTTAGAATTTCTTCACAAGTTAGACAGTTTCTGGCAGTTGGCTGCTCATATTTTCTGAACTGCCTTTTCCTGCCCTTTGCCTATTTTCCTACTGGATTGTGTGCCCCTTGAGTTACAAGGACTGTCTCCATAGAAAATATTGGGTCTGTTTTTACCCCAACTGTCAATTGACTTGCTCTGTGTGTTTCAGTCTTGAAAGTCTTAATCTTTGGTATGGGCAGTGCTGCCAACCTATTTCACTTGGCTGCTGGATTGTATGATGTACTTTCAAAGGCTTTTCCTCTCCCCTTCAGCCCCCTACTTCTCTCTCTCCTTCACAGCTTGTTGATAAGCAGCAAGGCATGAGCCCCTTTGCCTGCATGCTACAGTGTTTCCTGAAAGCAAGGACGTTGTTTAACCATAATCTTCAAAACCAAATTAACATTGAGGCTGCCGAATGCTTGCTTCAGCATTTGTGAGGACCTGTGTTCCATCCCAGCACCAATAAATGAATCAGTGAATGAAAAGAAAGAAAGAGAAGGGGGGAGGGAAGGAAAATTAACATTGGTTGCGGTACTGTTGCCTGATCTTAGACCTTATTTACATTCAGGCAGTTGTTCCAGTATTGCTGTGTATAGCTCAGAAGAGAAAAAAAAAAACCTAGCGTCATGCATTGCATTCTGTTGATGTGTTTCTATTTTCTTTTAATCTGCCACTTCCTTAGACTTTGTTTTTGTGACAGCGTCTTTTTGTTGTTTTTAACAGTACTGGGGTTGAAGCTCATGGCCTCATATGCTGTACCACTTGAGCCATTTTTGAGGACTACAGATCAGTTGTTTTGTAGCCTGTTTTCAGTTTGAGTTTTATTGCTTTGTTTTTTTTCCCCTCATGATTGCAATCAAGCTAGACGGTTTTGTCAAAAATACCACCAAGTAGGTGTGGCGTACAACCCAGTGGCAGTGTGCTTTCCTAGCATGTGCAAGGCCCTGGGTTCCATCCCTAGCACTGCAGAAAACAAATTAATAAAAGCAGCAGCCAGGAGCTGGTGGCTCAGCCTGTAACCCTAGCTACTTAGGAGGCAAAGATCAGGAGGATCGAGCTTTAAAGCCAGCCTGGGAAAATAGTTTTTGAGACCTCCCATCTTGAAAAACCCATCACAAAAAAGGGCTGGTGGAGTGGCTCAAGTGGTAGAATGTCTGCCTAGCAAGCGTGAGGCCCTGAGTTCAAACCCCAGTACTGCCAAAAAAAAAAATCGGTTATTAATGTAGACTAGGTATTGAAGTAATACCTAGTTTCCTTATAATTGAAACAACACTTAGTAGACTTATGAAGTTGGCTTTCCCATTGGGAAAGGGGTTTTCTAGAGTCACGGCTTCAGCTTCCCCCAGACCATTCAGGAGGCTGAGCAGTGCACTGTACCTTGGGCAGTGTCACCAAAACAGAGCCCCATGCCCACGCTTCGCTTTTGAGACATTGTCTTCCAGAGCCATGTTTTACATACGTCATACCCTGACTATTATTCACATTAGAAGCTCTCACTTTAGTTTAAGCAAGCCTGAACATTTTCCTTCTTGCCATCTCAATTAGTGATTTCCATTTTTGCTTCAGTTTTATTACTTCTCATATCCTTACTTAGAGTTTTGCATTTGTTACTCTGAAAGTGCACACCTGCCATGAACCACCAGCTCCAGACAGATTTTGAATGTTAGAAAATGAATGATGGACTAGTGAAGAAACTTGGGAAGTTGGGCAAGGGGAATGGGGCAGATGACTTTTCCAAACACTTTTAAGCTGCCTAAAAAAGTGTCTCTAGCTTTTTAATGTCTTAAAATTTTTTTAACCTTAAGTCACTAACTTCTTTAAACAGAGTCTTGAAGTGAAGTCATTCCTTCCAGTGCCTCTTTGCTTCCTTTTCTTGTGGCTAATTTTGGTTCTTTGTATTTAGAAGAAACAGTGTCGTGGCACATCAGTACAACTAGAGCAAGCAACAGATGAGTAGAAGAGAGCAGAGTCCATAGACCCAGACATGCAGGAATATGACATCAAGGCAAAGCACGGTTGCAAATCACTTTACATCAGCACAACACTGGCAGTCGATGCTAAGATGAAAGCCCCAAAAGAACTCAGTGTAGGGAGTGTTGTGTAGACTTAGTGCGGAGGAGTGCGTGTAAGCATAAAGGGGAAACCCATAGCTTCAGTTGCTGGAGAGTGGGATTTACTGAACACCCATGAAGAAAGCTAAAAGCCTAGTGAAGACATGTCGGAGGGGCTGTGCCTTATACCATGTGACAGGAATGGACCAGAAGCTTTAACATGGGGAAAGGACATACACGAGAAATTCTTGGGAGTCCAGATGTAAGAAAATCCAACCTAAGTAGTCATGAGACCCACTTGGGTAAGGACCGGCATTCCTTTCTTGCCTCAAAAACATTGGGGAGGATTGCACTTTAGTTCAGTGCTGCTGAGCCATGGGCATCAGAGCAGCCTTCCTCTGGGGCATCTCACAGGAAATATGTCCTAAGATGACATCTAGCTGTGTGCATAAAAAGAATGAGCAGGGCTGTTAGTAGCTAAGCATTCGTTCTCTAGTTTCCAGCTGTGGTTATGGATAAGGCAGCACTGGGCCAATGCCGTGGTGTTAGGAATATTGAATGATGTTCAGTGTTTGATGGACGTGAAGCATGCACAGAGCAGTGGTGGTTATGTCCACTGGGGAAGGACAGCGACTCCAGGCGCTGGCTCCTTCGTTTCTTTTGCTGCTCTGTGTTCTGCTTTATAGCAGCATTTCTGCAGGGAACCCTGTGTATGACTGAAACCATGCATTTGTGTCAGGTGCTTTTCTCTCTGCCAACATCGTCACCCTCCTGAGAGCCCTTCTGGGGACTGTGGGGATGCTACTGGGGTAGGCTGCGCACCGAGAGATCTCTGACTTGGGAAGTGACACAGGCAGTTGAGGGGTCCATATCTGTGGTACTCAGGGCCTGTACAGTTTTCCTGGCTGCTTCCAGGAAGCGCAGAGCACTGATGTCCTACCTCAATGATTGTCTTGTCAGGGCGGAAAGCAGAGGAAGAGGGCGTGGAAGATAACGGGCTGGAGGAGAACTCGGGGGATGGCCAGGTAGGTGCAACCTAGTTAGCAGATGAGCAAGGGGGTGAGCCAGTAGCGGCACCTGATGCTTTCCGTTCATATTGTCGCAGGAGGATGTGGAGACCAGCTTGGAGAACTTGCAGGACATTGATATGATGGACATCAGTGTTCTGGATGAAGCTGAGATTGACAATGGCAGCGTGGCGGACTGCGTGGAGGAGGAGGATGCGGACAACCTCCCGGAGTCCCTGTCTGACAGCAGAGAGCTCGAGGGGGAGATGAAAGAGCTTCCGGAGCAGCTTCAAGAACATGGTGTAGGTAACTTGGCAGGGTCTCTGGAGCCACCCTGAGTGTGTCATCCTCCAGTGTCCTGGGAGGTGACAAGCTTTACCGTGCACGTGGTACATCTAGGAGAAGCTGAAAACGCACTGTACTTGGCTGAAACTGACATCTTATAAGTGCACACAGATCAGATCTGCTGTCCATTTGCATGGTACAGCATGGGACATTGGGGACAGCTGTACATACCCTTCCTTGCGTGACATGTTGGTCTGTGGTGTGAGGGCTCGGGTGCCTTGAAAATTCTGAAAGGGAGAGGTGGGAAGCTAACCATTACTTGCTAGGAAACCTTAGATGCCCTGCATAGTCAGCCTCTGATACTAACCTTCACATTGTTTTCACAGCCTTCACTGTCTTTATGCTAGAAATGTACCAAGCTATAATAAGGTTGTTATAATGACTCTTACTGAACTCTACCTGCCAGGTATTAAGCGTTAGATATCCTATAATCCTTCTAACAGTATGAGGTACCGAGACTTGTGCCCATTTCAGAGGTGAGGAAATTGAGGAGTAAAGAGGTAAGAAGTGTCTCCAGGAAACACGCAGCTCATGACAGAGCTAGGCTAAAAGCATGGTTCAGTGGTAAAGTGCCTGCCTAGCAAGCACGTGGCCCTGAGTTCAAACCCCAGTACTGCCCCCCCCCCCCCGCCAAAAAAAAAAAAGATGAGGCCAGTGGAGTCCCTGTGCCTGATTCATTCTACCTTGTCTCAGTGCCATTGACTTTATCAAAGCATATCATTATGTGAGGATTGGCCTTCACACGACACAGCCAAGGCAGTGGGAATGCCAAGCTGAGAGGCATCTGTGGTTATTTTGTGGGGCTCAGCCTCAGGGACCCCAGCTCTGTAGTGAAAACTTGTTCTGTGCTTGTCCATGGTCTTGGTCTCCACAGTGTTCGTGGAGTCCTCTTTGAACTGACTCAGAGTGGCTTTGGAGATAGCAAATTGTCTTTGGGGGATTTGATTTGAGAACTGGCTGAGAGCTATTCTGATACAAATGGGGGTGAAATTGTTTTGTCTTTTGGTGCAGCTCATTCACCAGCTTCCTTCACATGAGTAGCAGGAGCACTTGTGCAGTGGCCCCAGCATACGCCATGTCTCCTGGCTACATATCCTTAAGGCTGCATTCTGCTCTCCTGATAACAAGATAATATAGTCTGTCACAAGAAATTTGAAACGTCCCTAAATGTCTTCCAATAATGGTTAAATAATTAAGACTTCATAGAAGCAGTGTAGTTAAAAGAGTTGAGAGCATTTTCTCTAAAGGTCGGTCACTTGCTGTATAACTTTGGGCAAGTTCCTTATCCTCTCTGGGCTTCCATTGCAAAAGAAATAGCATTGAGGAGGTTTAAATGATTGGGTGCTAAGTCCAGAAGCCACCAAAGTGGCCGTCTGCCTGTTTTTCTAAATACAATGTGATTGGAACACAGCATGTCTGTTTATTGTGTTGATGGCTTGCTTCTTTGCACTATAGTGGCAGAGATCAGGAGTTGTGACAGACCTTCAGCCTGACACAGTATTTCCTAGGTGGTCCTAATAGGAAGCATTTGTTGATCCCTGCCCTAAAACAGTGCCTAGCATAGAGCAAGTCTCAGGAGCCCTTATGAGATGTACTGCCTTGTGCAGCTGTTCTGTTGCCCAGCCACCACAGCTACACTAAAATTGTCCCTAGGAGGGAGGGTTTGGAATACCATGCCATCTCACCCACAGGTAGCATGGGGGTGGTCTGTGGTATGCACGGCCTACACTTGGGCTGACCCTTGCCTTGTGAGGAGATGGTTTTCAATGTGTATGCTCCTGGTCCAGCCCAGGCTTTTATCCTGAGTGGTAAAGACGAGGAAGATACCTGCTCGCTGTGAAGTTCTCAGAAACATCTACCCCAAAAACAGACCTGCCTTCAGGGCACCTAACAGCCAAAATTATTTTGAGTCAGAAAGCATCTGAATCTCCTTTCCTTATTGGAGAATCCCTCACCATAGCAGGCACAGCCTGTGCAGGTGGAGTGTAGATGAGCTGCTTGGGCTTTTCCAGCCCTGTGCTCCTGTCCCCACAGGCAGGCCAAGAAGCCCTAGGAGGCAGGGCTGGCCAGGGTGCCCTGGGGCAGCTGTCCTGGCATCAGTAGCATCTGTGTGGCCAAAGGCCCCACACAGCATTCTGGTTGTAGATACTGCTTCTGGCAGAACATCCTGGTGCCCTGGTCCCCTGGAGAGTCTGTGTCTTGCCTGCGCTCTGTCTCTCTTGTGCTCCTCTCACACGGCGATCTTGGTGCTGTGCCAGCAGCCTTTTGTATGCACAGTATGCACCGTTTTGACCATTTCCTCCTCAGTGGTCTTCAGGGCTGCACAGCTATTGATGTGATACGTTGTACTCTGCCTTTGTTTCGCAGGTAGATGACAAGGAAACCATTAACAATGTAGACTCTCCATCATCTGACCTCACTATATTGCAGGTAAATTGTGTGTCTCAGATTTAGATCAGATTTAGAGCAGTTTCTGGAAACCACTGCACATATTGCCTGGTAATCCCAGCTAGCATTCATTTTGAGGTTTGTTTACTTGTCAGCACTGGGTGGGGGGGGTGGAGTCTGCTTTCCCCCAAGTAGAGTGTGCTTGGAGCCAGGGACGTCCCCCTTGGTTCCACTTCACACGCATGTCGGCACTGTTCTGTTGCAGCCTTATGAGTCCTTATCCGAAGTGCTTGAGGTCTGAAGTGTTTCAAGAGGCTCGGGGTTTTTTTATTCTTGTGTTTTGCTTCTTTTGGATTTTGAAATGTTGACATAGGTAGTGAGATATCTTGGGATGGGAGTCTCAACACAAACTCCACGATACATATGCACATCTTCTGCAGCTGAAGGTCATTTTCTGCATGGTTTTCAGTGCACCTGCCTTTTAACTGCAGCCTACCCTGGGACGTCAGCTGTGGGATTTGCTTGCTGTGCCTCAACAGTACACACAAAGTTTTGGGTTTGGAGCACTTCTGGTTAGGGATGCTCACCCTGTAATATCATTCATTACTGGGGAAGAGAATCTGGATGGCGGTAGGCCTTTCTGTGGAAACTGCCCAGCTTGCTTTCTTTTCATAACTTCTTTTGGCTGTTTGACCATTTTGTGGAGATGTGAAACTTTACAATAAATCAGAGAGAACTCACATTTTGGTCAGCCTACCAAGGTGCAAGGTGCAAGGTACTTAGGTGACTGGCTGCCTGGCTTTCACTAGGATGATTTGTGAGGAAGTCAACGTGTGGTCAGCTATTGCCTGTTCTTCCTGTCACCTGTGCTGTTGGGTAGAAATCATTTTTCTGACTCCATCTCTGCTTCTGCCAAACCCAGCAAGGGAGCTGGTGGGATTGGAGGCAAGGCTCCAACCTCTAGGAGGGGCAGACCTTTTGGAGTTCATGTCGCTCCAGCTGTGGAGAAACAAAGCCACTCCTGACTCCAAAAGCAGAGGAGGAGCCAGATCTTGTCTGTGGTATCTTTCTAGACGAGGACTCCATGTAAAAATAGTGTGCCTTTCCTCCCAGGACAAAATAGGACAAGTTTGCTTCTCTCTAGAGCTGTTAAGGAGGGGGAGCAGAGGTGTGCAGCGGGAGTGGGCAGGGCCTGCTGACAAAGTTAAAGTTAAGGAGGGCACTGTTTTGCTGAGACAGATGGTTTGCTCCAGTCCTAGTCTCTGCCTTCCTCCACTATACAGATTAAAAGTAAGTGAGCTGGGCACTTGTGGCTCACACCTGTAATCCTAGCTTCTTGGGGAGGCTGAGATTGGGAGGATCGAGGTTCAAGGCCCATCTGGGCAAGTAGTTTGTGAACCTCCATATCCGTAATAACCAGCAAAATGGACTGGAGGTGTGGCTCAAGCAGTAGAGTCCCTGCTTTGCCAGTGGCAAAGCCTGGAGTTCAAACTCCTAGTCCCACCAAAAAAAAAAAGTAGGTGAAAACATGAGGACAATGGTGTCCAAAGTAGCACAGTGGGCTGCAGGAGGCACCTTCAGGGTGTTAGGTGCCTTTGGCCAGCAGGGCAGAAACATGAGTCAAAAGTGAGACCTGGCCCTGTCTTGCCCCTTTGCAGTGCACAAGGCACTCTTGTGCCTCTTAGGAAGAGGCCTGGCCTGGGGTGGGATGTGCAGATTCACAATCCATCTGCTGCCCGCCTGCTGTGTATCCTTTCTAGTTACTCAGTCACTCTGATCACTGTGTTGGGATGGATGGTGCCAAAGGCACCAACCACCAAAACTAGTCATCCCTGTGCCCCTGAGGCACTGGCAGTCATGCTCAGAGTTGACTGCCGCTCCACAGTACTGCACCACCTGTGCCTAGCAGATGTGGGCCCTTGGTGGACAGTAGGCCAAATGAGAGAGGGAGCCATTAGGGAAGCTCTCGAGGAGATACCCTGAGCTCAGTGTGCAAAGCAGTACAGAGCAACTGCAGGATGAAGGCCTGAGGCCCCGGAGCTCACTCAAGCCCAGGGCAGGCACACGAGTAGGGTGCTGAATGCAGACACTACTGGAGGCAAGGCACAGATACAGCCTGACTAGACAGGACTTTCTGGGAAAAGCTGAGATGGTATCCAGTGCCAGCCTGCTGGGTCCATTGATAAGAGGATTGAGGAGAGGAATAAGCACTGGAGGGGCTCAAGTGCCCCAGGGACAGGGCTGGCAGGAAAATAGGAACAGGAGTGAAGTCACTTGGACCCATTATCCTTCAGTCTTGAATTTGCAGAAATTTGGCTTGAGATTGGCAAATGCTGCAAGGACCCATAAGGGTGTGTTGGCCATTCTGTCCGACACGGTAGGGAAAACGCAGTTGTCTTTGAATTTGAGAGTTCAGTCCAAAGAGACAGATGGGTATGGGAGTCCTTAGTCCCCTGGATGGTGGGGCATTCAGGCCAGGAACCATAAAGGGGGACCATCCTCTTAGCAGCGGCCTGGCTTTGAGCAGGCAAGCCCTCTGTCTGCTCAATGTGTTGTGAGTTGCCTAGTCTGTTGTCACCCTACCATAGTCCTAGTGTCTGTTTTACTAAAGTGCAGGTGTTGTCCACCTGGCACTGTCTGATTTGCGTTTTCTGTTGCAGGAATTGGAAGAGCCATCTCTGGAGCCAGGTACTGTTCAATGCAAACCTTAGCAGCGGGGGTTTGGAACATTCTAGTTTCCCACCATCTCTAGTTGGAATTCTTTAGTTTTAACAAGTTACCATACTGTGGTGTCCATTGTTCTAAAGGTTTGCAGTCCAGAACATACCAGGATCATAGAGATTGGAAACCCAGCCGTATCACCAGATCTGTGACAGTGGCTAGTTTATCGTTGTGCAAAATGTGTTGGCAAGGTGCAGCCCTCTCTGCCTTCTTACACAGAAATGGCATTGAAAGTGGAAAAGCTTGCGGGCCCTTGAGCTTGTGCCTCTGCCCCACGAAACAGATCTTGTGATATCGGCAGTATCTTGATGATGTGATGTGTGACTCAGGCAGTGCAGGCAGTGGTAGGGAGATCCGTGTAACCCACTGGGACGTGACTGGATTTCGGAAGAGAAAAGAGCTCCTTCGTGAGAATTCAAACAAACACCGTCCCCTTCTGGACTGCAAATCTCTTGGCGCCGACAGAAGACATTCTGGTTTTCATGTTGGACCGCTGCTCTGTTAAACGCAATTCAAAGAAATTTGGAAATGGAGCTGTTCAGTGAATGGTGACACATTCAGTTAAGCACCTTGGACTTCGGAAGCTAAATTTGGAAGAGCCATACATACATACACAGCAACAGAATGAAGACTGTCAAGAATCAGACAGAAGGTTTTGGGGGTTAAATCTCTGGGATCCTTTTCTCTCCCCATAGCGTAGAGGCTTCCGTAGTAGCCGGTGGCATGAGCGCAGGTAGTGTACAGTGTCACTGTGTGTACCTCGGGTTTTCCAATCTCTGTGTAGCTAGCAGTTCTCTCGGTGTTAGTGTGGCAGCCGTGCCCGTTCCGCATTTGTGATTGCTTTATTTCCCTGGTAATTAAACCTTGTGCCATTCTATTCCTGTTAAATCCGTAGAAAATGAGAAAATACTCGACATTTTGGGGGAAACTTGTAAATCTGAGCCAGTAAAAGAAGAAGGTTCCGAGCTGGAGCAGCCATTTGCACAGGATACAAGTAGCGTGGGGCCAGACAGAAAGCTGGCGGAGGAAGAGGACCTTTTTGGCAGCGCCCATCCGGAAGAGGAGGAGGAGGAGGAAGAGCAGGAGGAGGAGGAGGAGGAGGAGGGAGATTTAGCTGTGGCCAGCGAGTCACCGCGCGCTCAGTGGAGCGAGGCAGACACCCTGTTAGCGGTAGTGAAAAGGGAGCCCGTGGAGCAGACAGGCGAAGGCGCGAGGACGGACCGCGAGCCTGTAGGGCTAGAGAAGCCAGTTGAGCAGAGTAGCGCGGCCCCCGAGCTGGCGGAGGCCTGTAGCCAGGAGCTGGCGGAAGCGCCCACGGAAGCCCCGAGCCCCGAGCCCAGAGATAGCAAAGAAGACGTGAAGAAGTTTGAGTTTGAAGCTTGTAATGAAGTCCCTCCGGCTCCTAAAGAGTCCTCAACCAGTGAGGGCGCTGATCAGAAAATGAGGTTTGTTGTTTCTCAGTTTTAGACCAGACGCTATCTCCTTTTTCCATTGGTCATTAATGACACACCTAGCTGTTTTATCTGCAATTGGCCAGCCAGACTGCTGAAATTCTAGCTTACTTCCCAACGATGTTTTATTTCTCTTTGTTTATTTTTACACTGATTACATAATCTTTTTTCTTTTCTCAACCTATCATGGTTGTTTTCTTTAATTCTTCCTAATTATCTTTAGCCCAGCAGAATTAATTAACTCCTGTGGGTCTGAAATCTTATGGTTAGGTCAGATTTCCAAAACAAGTTTGTCCGGGGTGTCATTTTTGAAAGCTAAATTGCGGGTAGGTATGCAACCTCAGCACGCGCTTCAGACTTTGAGTTTGTTTCCTCCATGCTGCTTCACCCTGAGTGACGCTGTCTTTTGTCTCTAGTTCTGTCGAAGATGACTCGGACACAAAAAGACTTTCCCGAGAGGAAAAGGGTAGGTCACCATGGCACACCCATTCCCTGGAGCACTATGGGCCTCGATGGAGGCCGTTTTTGCTTCTTGTGCATGCGTTCTAAGTCCCCCAGCCCTGTCTGAGCCTCTCAGGAGGTCTTCTCACTTCTCTCCTGGTGGCTCTGCAGGTACTGGAATGTGGGAAAATCTTCTTAAGAGTGAATGACTGCCCTCATATAGACGCAGGCTTTTCAGGGGTTCGAGGTCATTAATGCTTTGACCTGCCATTTAAAGCCCATGCGTTGGGAAGGGATTGCACTGAATCCAAATTTTCTCTTCATCAGTGTAAAAGTACTGGGGGAGGGGTGCACACACAGCACATGCTGTGACAGGAAGAGAACGGAAAGGAGTGTCTTAGGCGGACATTGGCTGCTTCATGTCAGAAGCCATCTTGAGCTGCAGGGTGTGGCTGAGCACTTGGCTACTGTGTGCCAGGCCCTGGGTTCCACCCTAGCCCCACCAGAAAAAAAGCCATCCTTCTCTGTGGCATAGTCATTCCTCAGTAACTTTCTCAGGAAGGCTCTGGGATTCTGTCTTCCTGTGTGGTCAGTGTTTGTGGCATTGTATTTGGCCTGGTACACGGCTGCCTGGTTTGTGTGGGGACAGTGGGGCGGGTCCCAACCACAGCAGGCTTTTGCATGTGGGGACGACGGGTGGTTTCTAATGACTTTCTGGAAGACTCAGGATCTCTGGGTATCATTTTTGACCAGAACTTTCTTTTGCATAGGTCGTAGCAGTTGTGGTAGAAATTTCTGGGTTAGTGGACTTTCTTCTACTACCAGAGCTACAGATTTGAAGAATCTTTTCAGCAAATATGGGAAGGTAAGAGCCCAGGGTTTCTGGAGCAGGAGGCACACTTTTATTTATTTATTTATTTTGGGACAGAACTGTGGTTTGAACTCAGGGCCTCACATTCGGTAGGCAAGTGTTATATCACTTAAGCCATGCCCCCAGCCCTTTTTTTTTCTTTAGTTTTTTTCCAGGTAGGGTGTTATGTTTTGCCTAGGGCTGGCTGGACCTCATTTCTCCTACCTGCACTCACGTAGCTGGGATGGCTGTCGTACACCCCCATACTCGGCTTAAAGAATTAGATGAGGTCTTCCTAACGTTTTGTCTGGGCTGGCCTCAAACCACAGTCCTCCTGAGTAGTTGATATTACAGGTACAGCCACTGCTCCTGGCCACGGGAGGCACTGTTAAGCGAGTGTCATGCAGCTGTCTGTGTCAGTCACTCTCCCTTTCTGGGAGCACTCAGGCTTCTTGAAACTCCCCAAGACCAAAGGCTGAGTGGGAGGTGCTAGTTAGCAAGCATGAATGACACCTGTGACATGGGTGTGTCACCCGCTGCTCTCAGACTCACGTCCACACTGACAGCTCTCAAAAGTTGCTGCCCACACTTATGATTCAGGCAGTTCTGGGCCCTTCTCTGTAGCACCCTTGCCCCGTAGGTAGGTGGCTACTGACACAGGCCTGTCTTGGCTTTCCTCACCTCCCAGTAGACTTGGGCAGGCAGGGATCCTGGTGCCTGCCGTACCAACTTGTAGTTGAGTCCCTTGTCTGTATTAAGAGCTTAGCGTAGCATGACAGCAAAACCAGCCACATTCATCCTGGTGATTGAAGTCCAGAGCCAACAAGAACGTGATTTCCATAATAGCTGTGGAGACTCCCAGCAGTTCCCAGGGCATTGTGCCCTCTCCTGAACCTGCTGTGTCTTGGGGACATTGTCAGTTAAGAAGAAGACAAATCAAACATATCCAGGAAAAAAAAAAAAGAAGAAGACAAATCAACTAAAACTTAGTTTTGGGGCCAAGATTCCACATGGCACTGTGAATATGAATGCTGGCTGTGGCCACTGGCCCCATAGGGCTTTCTGGAGCTTAGATGCCTCTGCTAGAAAAGGGAAGCCTCCCCTGAGTTTTTGGAGGTGTTGAGAAGACATGTTTGCAGTGTCCTCATCAGATCATTGAAACAGCACTGCTGGTGGTCACATGGAGTCCCAAAGTGCTGTTCACCAGCTTGCCTCTGTCCATCTTTCTGAGACATGTTCTTGCTCTGTTGCCTGAGTAGCTCCCATGCATGACTTTACTTAGAGCGCTTCCTCCTTTGGTGTAAAACATGGTGACAGAGCGCAGGAAGAAGCTTGTCCTCTGTCTGCTTCCTCTTCCCCGTCCGTGGCTGCCACTTCAGTTGGACACCTGGTGACCTGGTTTCCCTGTGCATTGGCAGCGGTGGCCTTGGGAACTGTATATGCAGCCTCTGCATGCAAACTGTGTGGCTTTCCTTTAGGTGGTGGGTGCCAAGGTGGTGACGAATGCCCGGAGTCCTGGGGCTCGCTGTTACGGCTTCGTCACTATGTCCACCGCGGAAGAGGCCACCAAATGCATCAATCACTTGCACAAGACGGAGCTCCACGGGAAGATGATCTCTGTGGAGAAGGTGAGTGGCCGCCATAACCCATGCTACAGCCAGTGCTGGAAAGTGGGGTGCCACTTGCACTGGATTCTCTTCCTCAGGCCAAAAATGAACCTGCTGGCAAGAAGACCTCTGACAAGAGAGACGGGGAGGGGAAGAAGGAAAAGTCAAGCACTGGTGACAGGTAGTCCTCCCTGACCAAAATGGAGGGCAGGGATGCAGCCTTGGACCCCTTGCCCACATCCATCTTTAATTGCCTTCTTCCCCTCACACTGAGCTTGCCAGAGGCTCCATGCAGTACTCCCCTGTGTGCTCAGACACCTGCTTTAACACTGGCTGTCACTTACAGGTCTACAAACCTGAAGAGGGATGAGAAAGCTGACAGAAAAGATGAAGCCAAAAAGGGGGAAGAAGGAAGTGCAGAGAAGAGTAAAGACCCAGATGAGCAGAAACCTGGCCCCTCTGAACGGTCGCGAGCCACAAAATCAGGTAGCCAGTGGGGCCATACAGAGTTCTCTGGCCTGTGTGCTCTGTTAATGTGCTGTGGCTTTGCCATCTGGCAAAACAAACCAGATTGCTTTTGCACAGTGTTTAGAGCGTTTTCTTAACTGTACATTGCTTTGCACCTTACCCTTCTCGTTTGTCCCTGTAGGAAGCCGAGGCACCGAGCGCACCGTGGTGATGGACAAATCTAAAGGTGTGCCTGTCATTAGCGTGAAGACATCAGGATCCAAAGAGAGAGTGAGTGCCATCTTCTAAACCGAACCAGGGCACACAGCTTGTACAGTTCTGCTTTTGCATATGTGTTAGGGGATTCTTGGGCTTTAGTGGAAAAAGTTTCCTACCTTCCAAAAAAAAGAAGTCTTGCACTTAAAAAAGGAGAGGAGGAACCAGGTACTGTGACTCAACGCCTGTAATTGGAGCTACCTGTGAGGCTGAGATTGGGAGCATTCAAAACCAGCTCAGACTAAACCTCCTCAAGACCCCGTGTCAACCACTGGGGACAGTGGCGCAAGTCTGTCATCCTAGCATAAAATAGGCTGCCCTGGACAAAAAGTGAGACCCTACCTCAAAAATAACCAATGTGAAAAGAGCTGGTAGACTGGCTCAAGTAGTAGAGTGCCTGCCTAGCAAGTGTGAGGCCCTAAGTTTAAACCCCAGTTCTGACAAATTAAAAAAAAAAACAACACAACAATGGAGGGCTGGGGTGCAGCTCCGCAGTAAGCGCTTACCCAGCATGCATGAGACTCTGGGTTCTATCCCCAGCACCACAAAAGTTTAAATTCTTTCTTTCTACTTAATTTTGCTCTGATATGAGTTGTTGCTTTGCTTTTTTATTTTATTTCTTAAAGCTAACTTTAAAAATGAAACATGGGGATCTGGCTCAGTAGTAGAGTACTTAACCCAGCATGCCCTAGGCTCTGGATTCCATCACCAACAGAGCCAAAAAAGAAAAAGGAAAGCTATGGGAGGGGCTGGTTCTCCAAGTTCTAGCAGCTTGTGGGCATTCCTAGGCTTCGCACTCAGAAGCTGCCTCTGCAGCCACCTCCAGGCTCCATCCCATCCCCCACCCCCTGCCTCCTACAGCCTGTGACACACAAGTCAGGCCACGGTTTCTGTCCTTGGTGCTCTTTTGCTAGGATATGGGCAGCAGCTGGTGTTTACAATGTCTTAGGTTGGAAGAGCCCAACAGCTTTGATAGGTACAGGTTGGGGTCTCCAAGATCAGCTCACGTGTATCAATTCCCTAGGGGGACCCCTGGATTTAATATGGACTCATACTGCTGAAATTGACTAAGCAGCAGGGCGAGGGTGCCTGGCCAACTCATGAACAGAGATGGAGGGAACCTGTGCAGGTGACCTTGTCATTCCCTACACAGGGCTTACATGAAACAGTGAAATGTGTCAACATTCAGGACACAGTTCTGCCCAAGGAGGCCCACTGGGGCCCAGGTTTTTATTGGGGTGGTCAAGTGGGCCACCTGGCATGAACCAACAGTCCCCACTCCCTGAAGGACAGCAGGTGCTAGGTATAAACCATTGCTTGCACAGTGAGTTGCCCATACCAGTTGATAGTTAGGCACACTGAAAGCCAAGTTCCCAGCTGCCAGCCAAGAGAGTGGCCCTGGCGCATGAAGTCAGCCTGGGGCCCTAAAGAGCAGTGCTTGGGCTGTGAAGTGGTGGGGCTCAGGTGCAAGTTAGCCTCAGCTACAGAAGCTCTCTATCCTTGGTTGCTGTGCACAGATTCCATATGTTGTAGCCTTCTACCCTTACGTCACAAAAGTAGGATTGGAGAAGAGGTTTTTATACATACAAGAAGTAGCCGCGTTTCAGAACTCGAGATACGTAAAGGAAAAGGACAAAACTCAGAATTTACTTATTTATTTATTTATTTATTTTACAGTTTTGTTTTTTTTTTTTAATTTCTTTTATTCATATGTGCATACAATGTTTGGGTCATTTCTCCCCCCCTTTTAGAATGTACTTTGAATGCAAAAGACAAAGTACAAAATACTTATTTTGGTGTTAAGAAAACCTTTTGGGGAAATGGTAATTTCTTTTTTCTTTTTTCTGGCAGCACTGGGGAAATAGTCCCCACTATGCAAGCCCACTATGCAGGTGCTCTACCACTTGAACCACTTCACCAGCCCTGGGGAAATAGTCATTTCCATTTTGAATCTGTTGATATCTTTGAAAGATCATGTTTTAGCATTAAGTATTGGTGAAAGTCTGTGGCTTTCACAGACTCTGGTTTTCTCTAAAGAAACATGGGGTTTCTTTAGCGAGCACTTCATTCTCTAATGATTTCACTGGAACGAGTCATCAGCCAGATGTGGTGGCACCCACCAGTGATCCAGCACTTGGGAGGCTGAGGCAGGAGGATCTCAAGTTCCAGGCCAGTCTGGACTACATGTGAGACCCTGACTTACAAAGAAAAAACAGTCCTGTAGATGCTCCACATTCAGTGCTTGGAAGCAGACAGGCCTGATCCTGCCTGCCCCTTGTCATGTCTATTTAACTTTTTGTGCTCTGTGGTGGCCTAGGTCTCTAAAAGCCAGGACCGCAAGTCAGCCAGCCGAGAGAAGCGGTCTGTCGTGTCCTTTGATAAGGTCAAAGAGCCTCGCAAGTCCAGAGACTCTGAGTCCCGGAGGTGAGTGGGGATGTAGGGGAGGTGGCTGGCTCCAGTGTGGCCCCAGGCTGGGGCTGTGCTGTGCCTCGGATCTCAGGTGGACTACGCCCTCCTGTGTGTCCCATTCTTCCCACCCCCCCCCTTCCTACTAGCTCTCTTCTGTGACTTCTGTCCTTCAGCTTCTTCCAGAGACTTTTCTGCAGATGGGGCCATCTCTTCCCAAAGACCATGGGGGGCATCACAGAGCAGGAGCGGAAGGGCTTCCTGGTGTGGTGGTACTGGTAAAGCATCAGCACACTGGGAACAGGCCCCCAGAGAGCCCTAAGAGGGCCTTGTCCTTGAGAGATCTGAGGGAAGGGATGGTGGGGCCTTTGATAAGCTGTAGAAAATGGTAGTGGTCATCTTGGCTTACTGCCAAGAAGCATTTTTTTTTTGGCAGCAGTTTATGAACTCATGGCCACATACTCATTAGGCAGGTGTTTTACTCTTGAGCCACTCCTCCAGCCCTAGAAGCAGTTTTTAACTGTAGTGAAAAAAAAAATAAGGACTGTTAGTTTCTTTAGGGAAAAAATATTGGCTAGCAGAGTGCAAGTGTGAGGGGAAGGGGGGGCTCTGGAGCAGGGGAGGTTCTGGAATGCCCATATAGGACTTTTATCCTAAAAGGGAAGAATAATGGCCAACAAAGGAAGCGGAATCCACCCAGGAACTTCTCACATGGAAGAAGGATGGGCTCCTCCAAACAGGGCTCTAGGCCATTTGGCCACGTGAGTGGAGCCTCCTCCACATCACTGACGAAGAAACCTGGACTGATAGCTAGACACGGAGATACAGCCCGCAAACTAGCCATCCATTGTGATCCTAGATGAGTTTATGAACTTGAGGCTTGCAAGGCCTTTAAGAGTCATACAAAGGAGTTAACTCAGTTAAAATTACAGTCTGTACTGTGCAAAAAAGGTAGGAACAGTCAAAAGATGGGAGAAAAGTAATGAGAGATGAACTGAGTAAGTCAGTAAGAAAAGGGCCCAATAGAAAAATGGACTACAGCTGTGAAGGTTGGCAGGGCCGTGAAACGACAAGTTGTGCAGCCCGTAGGGAGCCATGAAGTGGGCATTTGCCCCTTGCCTGCAACAGGTTAGGGTGTGAATAGATTGCTGTTTCCACTGGGGAAACTGTGAGTGGGCCACCTGGAGGGACAGGCCCCAGTAACACAGAGTTCACTTCTCCATGGGGGCTCATTTGGGGTTTCTGGGATCTAGTCTCCCTTCCAAGTTCTGTGTAAGAGACTGCAGCCTGGTCAGACCCTGGCTCCTTTCTGAAAGCACCAGAGATAGGCAGAGGGGTTCAGGGGGCTCGACCAAGACCACGGACATTTAAAACAGATGCAGAATGAGGCAGGGTGATACTTTCCTGCTGGTGTAGATGGGACAACCATCCTGGGGTGTGGCTCAGTGGTGACTAACTGTGACTGAAACTGTGGGTTCATCCCCAGCGCCAGAAGAAAAAGACAGCGGGTACTTCTCTTGTTGTAGGCACAGGACTAAAGGGAGGTGCACTAACACATTAGCTATGTCACTGTCACAGCATGTAACTGGGATACCCCCACAGGGGCAGGGCATTCTGGGTTGGTTTGGGCCTAGCCTGGTACCTCACAACAAACATAGTTATAAGACACTGGTTGTAGTGTGCCAGCCCCATTTCACAATGACTGCCTGAGGCTGGTGGTTTGTGGGAGGCAGAGGTCTTCGTCTCCACCGGCACACTATAGAAAGTACATTCTACTGCTTGGTTCCAACTGCTGCTGGGTGTGGCGCTCCAGAAAGTCTGAAGAGCCCACTTCACAGTGCTGCTGGTCTTCTCACCCACTCCTCTGCTCCTTGTCACCTGGCTGGGCAAGATGGGGCTACCCAAGAGCCTGCTCCTGGCCTGTTCCCCAGCAGCCGTGGGCCCCTTGCCCTTCCTCCCTGTCCCAACAAGTAGTGCTGTAGCATCGGGGAGTGGGGGCGGGGGGGGTCCACCTAGGAGTCTGTGCTCTCCTGGGTAGGAGCCATTGCTCTGTCCCCAACCTTCAGTGTGCCCTGGAGCCTGGTCAGGGTGCCATGCACTCCAGCACTGCTGTCCTGCCACAGGGAGCGCGAGCGCAGTGAGCGGGAGCAGCGCCTGCAGGCGCAGTGGGAACGTGAGGAACGGGAGCGACTGGAGATAGCCCGCGAGCGGCTGGCCTTTCACCGGCACCGCCTGGAGCGGGAGCGCATGGAGCGGGAGCGGCTGGAGCGGGAGCGCATGCATGTGGAACAGGAGCGCCGGCGTGAACAGGAGCGCATCCACCGTGAGCGTGAGGAGCTACGGCGCCAGCAGGAGCTGCGCTATGAGCAGGAGCGCCGGCCTGCGGTGCGGCGGCCCTATGACGTGGACGGCCGGTGAGGTTTGCTGTTCACACCCCAGGATCCTTTAAGAGGAAGCCTGGGCCATGTTCGTGCCACTTTGTGTCCCAGCTTTGGCAGTGATGCCAAAGTGGGGTTGGTTGAAGTGGTTCCAGTTGAGTCCTTGGGTTCAAGTCCCAATGCAGGCTCTGAGCAGGAGCTCAGAGCAGCTGTGACCTGACAGGAAGCACTTCTTGGGTCTGCACTGGGCTTCTCTTTCCACCATGGGAGAGGAAGGGAGACCTCTAACATACAGGGCAACTTTACCAAGGGCCTCTCAGCTGTGTTAGAATTTGGGGCACTTTGCACAGACTGCCAGTGCTGGAGCTTACTTTCCTATCATGGTGTGAAGTGACACCTTCCCATGTATCTGCCAGGGCCATGCTTGCACAATAAGAAGTCAGTGTCAGTCTGGCGCTGGTGGCTCTCTTCTTTAATCCTAGTTACTTGGGAGGCTGAGATCAGGAGGATCATGATCTGAGGCCAGCCCACACAAATAGTTCTTGAGAAACTCCCCTCTCCAATCTCCAAAATAACCACAGCAAAATGGACTGGAGGTGTGCCTCAAGTGGTTTGTAAGCACAAAGCTCTTGAGTTCAAACCCAAGTCCCACCATACAGAAAAGTCAGTTTCAGAGTAGAAGGGGAAGATACCCTCACAGGCTCTAGAGGGTGGAGGCTTCTGCTGTGCTAATGGAGGTGGACTTGGGGAGTTCCTGGAAGCCCCTGCAGTGCACCCAAGTGGCTGTTCACACACCTGGTCACTCCCTGGTGGAAAGACCAGCACCCTCTGCGTCAGGAAGGCAGGGCATGTGGGACAGAACAGAGCAGTTCACTCTAGGGTCAGACCTGGCCTCTGCTCACAGGTAGAACGTGCCCTGGTGAGGTCACCTCTCACTCTGGGACATGACGGGGGCAGGAACAGTGTGGACTGTGGTTGGCAGCACAAGGGGGAACAATGCCTGCATCTCTGCTTTGAATCCATTTACAGGCGGGATGATGCCTATTGGCCAGAAGCCAAGAGGGCTGCTCTGGATGAGCGCTACCACTCTGACTTCAGCCGCCAGGACCGCTTCCATGACTTTGATCACAGAGACCGAGGCCGCTACCCAAACCACTCTGTGGACAGGTCAGTCAGCCCTGCTGCCCCACTTGTTGGGTACACATGCTCTCTGCTTCCTTCTTGTGTTCCTGGCCCTGGGAGCCCACTCAGGGCCACCTGCGTGCAGCCTGGGAAATATTGCTCTCCCTGTGGAGTTTTAGGCCTCTCTGTCTTTGTGGTCTGATCGGAATTACCTTTTGCAGGAGAGAAGGTTCACGCTCAATGATGGGAGAAAGAGAAGGACAGGTAAGCAGAAGCTGCAGCTCTAGCAGAGTCAGCTCCCTTTCCTGTGTGCCCTCCCCCTTCTGTTTGCATGCAAGGAAAAGGCGATCCAGTGTCTAATGTCTGAGGGACGCAAACAGAATGTAGGCAGTTTGTGCTTGCTCCTGATCCTATCAGAAAGTGTTGCAAGAGCTGGGCACCCACCTATAATCCCAGCTACTCAGGAGGCAGAGATCAGGAGGATGGAGATTCGAGGCCAGCCTGGGCAAATAGTTCACAAGACCCTATTTCAACAAAAATATCACAAAAAAAAGTATTGCCGGGTCCTCTGCCCTTCAGGGGCCTGGTGAGGCTAGGCACACTGCATCTACTCTTGGAACCTCCCCGCTGGGGCAGAGGCATGGAGAGCAGGGCACACGTGGCCAGCGTGTGCCATCTCAGCTTGAGAACTAGAAGTCTCTGGTCCCCATGTGCCCCCAGTGCAGGATTAGCAATTTAGAAAACAAGGCTCTTAAGCTGAGGCACAGTGGTGTGCAGCTGTCGTCCAGCTATGGGAGATGCTGAGATCAGAGTTTCCAGGCTAGTGTGGGCAAAAAATTTCTCATCTCGGCAGAAAAAGCTGGGTGTGTTGACGCATGCCTGTCATCCCAGCAACTGCAGGGGGGAACCCGGCTGTGTCTCCCAGCTTCCTTTTTCTTGGTTCCTGGGTGTGATTTGCCTGCAGCCATGCAAGACCTGGTCCTGTGGCTCGTCTTTGGTGTCTTAAGTGTCTAGGCTCAGCATCGGGACTGGGGTTTTATCCTGGCCACCACTTTGTGCCCAGCCTGTTTACCCAGCTGTGGTGGGTGAGGAGTCGTTCCTGCCCCATCAGGTGGGGGACTCCATGGGGGTGGAGCCACATCTGTTTATGGCAGACCCAGTTCCTTGCACCTGCCAGTGGCCTCTTTCTGTATAAACTTTATGTCCTGTTCTCCTGAAGCTGAAAAACAGTTAATTCCGCTGTTGAATGCTGACATGTAACTTCAAGAAAAGAAGTCACAGGAAGAGAAAATGAGCACAGAGCTCCCGGGTCTTGTTGGACCCTTGTCTGGGTTATATTTGAAAATTGTAGGGAGAGGTGGAAACAGCTGAGCAGTTGGAGAGCAAGGGCTGGCTAGGTCTACCTTCCTGCCTTGTCAGTGCAGTTGTGTGCCTTGCAGCTTGGGCATGGACTGCTCCTACATGCTTTGAGCAGCAGGTCTGGAGGAGCGTGGGAGCTCCCCCCAGCCCTTGGACCCCCAGCAGCAGCTGTGCTGACCTGCGGCCATAGCAGTGGCCAGCATCCTGTGCTTTGTCCACCTGTACTGGTGGCCATTCTTCTTGGGTAGAGGGCAGGGACAGTACAGGTGTGGTGCTGCACCGTGTGCACGCTTCAGTGAGGGCCTGTGGGGCGCTGCTGAGTGGGTAGGGCACTGTTGGATGGTCACCAGATTTAGCAAACAAACTAGATGGGTAGGGGAAGAGCATCACTTCTTTGGCTGTGGTTGAAAGAAATTTGTAAAATAAAGATTTACCATGGCTGGCAATGGGAGTAAGGTTTATGAACTTGACCTTTCAAAAAAGATGTGAAATGAGAGGACACAATTTGCCCTTGGCCACTTAGGACCAATGCTGTGAGCATTGTCTTCAGTGAATGTCTGAATCCTCTGCCCTATTCTCCCCAGGTCACATACCCCAGCCACTGACCTGCAGGTTCCAAGCCCACAGTGTGTGTGGACTCACATGGTCTGTGGACACCTTAGGCTGCCAGCTTTTCTGTCTGGGTTATTGTCAATTGCCATTATTAACCTGTTGCCTGGAAGGCCTTGGAATCGACACTGAAGCTCTGTGTCCACTCTTGTCCAGCATTACCCTGAACGCCATGGTGGACCAGAGCGCCATGGCCGGGATTCCCGCGATGGCTGGGGCTATGGCTCTGACAAGAGGATGAGTGAAGGCCGGGGGCTGCCACCTCCCCCCAGGTTTGTGTCCCATGCCCCGCAGTGCCTGCCCCAGCCTCAGATCACAGGGATGCCAGACTCTAGGAGTGAGCAGGGCCACCCGGCCCACCATGAGAGCCCCCTGCCCTGAGGGCTGGTGAGGCAGGGTGCAGAGCCTACCCCCACCCTCCACCATGCTTGCTCCAGCAGAAGCTGGGGGTGGGGCAGTGCACATCAGAGATGTCTTCTTCCAAGGGGCAGACGTGACTGGGGGGAACATGGCCGAAGACTGGAGGACGACCGGGCATGGCAAGGTGCTGCTGACGGGGGCATGATAGACCGGGACCACAAGCGGTGGCAAGGTAAGGTCGCCCTTGTTGATAGGGGCCACACTATCTTGGTTGAGAAGTAACTGAAAAGGAGACTACCCACAGACACAGTGAGGACGGGGCTGAGGCAGCCACTGGGGTCTGCTAGTTTTTAATGGAGCAGGTGCCTCAAGAAAGGGAGTGGAGGCCAGGCTGCAGGCCTGCGCATGCTAGGCCTAAAGAACCAAAGGGAAGGGAGCTGACTAGGACCCGTGGAGAGCTGCGTGAGTGAAAGTGAGCCTTGTCTTCCCACGCAGGCGGTGAGAGGAGCATGTCTGGTCACTCGGGGCCCGGGCACATGATGAACCGGGGAGGCATGTCAGGGTAAGGAAGGCGCTGCCTCTGCACAGCCTCTGCATGCTGGCTTCTGGGGCAGGGTGGACTTTGTGGCCTCCCATGAACAGAATGCTCCACACTGGAGTGACGGGAAAGTGGGGAAGGGGACCTGCCTGGGGAGATTGGCTGACCCCATGACTACGCGGAGCTTGAGACAGCCAGAGGACTGAGGCTCCAGGAGCAAAGGCACTTAAACTTATTCCCAGGCGCGGCAGCTTTGCACCTGGCGGTGCCTCCCGGGGCCATGTGATCCCACGTGGAGGGATGCAGGGCGGCTTCGGGGGACAGAGCCGGGGAAGCAGACCCAGTGATGCCCGCTTCACCCGCCGCTACTGAGCCCTTCTCCCCCCACCCCACCCCCCCCCCGTGTCCCAGTCCTGTGACCTGAGTATGTTCAATTAGTTCTCTTCAACCACCGTGTACAAAGAATTTTTTTTATCTGCTGCCATATTGTAGCTCAATACAATGTGAAATTGTTTTTGTTCTGTTTTATTTTGTAATAAAGGTGTTTCTGTTCACATACCCTTTATTCAGTGTGTCATCTCCTTTTTTCTGCCAATGAAAGGAAGTCGTGTTCCACGCTAAGCCCAGCTTCTTGTTCAGGGATGGAGCTTGAGGTGGCGGACAGGGGCTGCTGTGGAGTTTCCAGAAGTGCTTGTTCACAGTGCCCAGGGCTGTTTGTGGCTGCACTTGGTTTCCCTAACCAGGCTTCTCACCCGCTGAAGGGCAGTAAGGCACAAGGTCTTCCCCAGTCAGGGCCTGCTTTCCTTCCAGAACAGATGTGAAGGCTTCAGATAGTGCCATGGGCCTCAGAGATGGCTACTGCTTACAGAAAGGTGTGGCCACCTGGCTGCTGTGTGGCAGCCCAAGCCTGCTGTGAGATGTGCAGCCACCAGATGGGCTGGCAAAGGCACATCTTGAGTCCAACACAGTGGCTGAATGCAACTGTCCCCCAGGTGTCATTTCGGAACTGGAGAGGCCACATGTCATAGCTTTGTTTCACCATGAACTGCGTGCATCACTGGGGTTCTTGGTGACTTGCAGTTGTCTGTCCTGACACCATTTGTGTCTGAATGTGTACAGACACATGGATGTCAGGAAGCCTCCAAAAGGCCCAGTGTTCCTACGTAAATACGACCATGCGATATTTATCTGTGTCTGCCCTCACGTGCACTTACTTGGCTGCTCCTTTTGCCAAGCTTTCCCAGGTGTGCTGGCTCAGCAGCACTGTGCACAGGGTACATGGTAGGGGACCAGTGCCCTGCCAAGCCTGCTGAGATTGACAGCTGCCACTCTACACACTTCCTTGCCAACACACTTAGTTGTGATCGCGTGGACATCTTCATGTGACCTTTGTACTTTGAGACGAAACACGAGAGGTGTGTGTGTGTTGGAAAGCAGAGGGGCAGCCAGTGGTTGTGCATGCCCAGCACTGTGCCTCTGCAGGACCGGCCTGAGGACACAGGCTGCTCCCAGCACCTGCCCCACTCCAGGAAGCCAGGCAGGCCAGGGGCAGGACACTCCTGAACTGCTGTGAGAGCCTTCCCCCTTCCCAGGCCTGGTCCTGTGGTGCCGGAGGGTGAGGCTGGCAACCGTGGAGGCCCACCTTGCTCTAGGGCCCAGATTTGGGTCCCAGGAAGATCCCCAAGGACAACCAGCTCTTGGTTTCAGCATAAGGTACACAAGTGTGCCTACTCCTGCCTGGGTGTCAGCCAGCCAGAGAACATTCATGTTCAGCTGTCCCTCCACTGGAGCCAGCTTCAAGCCTCTCTGCCACCTGGTCTATACTGCAAGACTCTTCGCCAGGATAGACCAGTGCTTTGTGGGTTTGGGCCAAACCAGAGTCCTTGTACATTCATCCCCCCAGCATCAATCCGTCCACTCACCCACCCACCCATCAAGCAGGTGTGCATCCGCCCATCCAGCAGCCCTTCCCCACCAGGCTCTGTGCTGAATTCCAGAACTCTGGGAATTTGGATGTAACTTGGGGTCCTTTCCCTGGGGCAGCCTGCATGCTGGGCTATCACATAGAAAGCTGTGGCATACAGGAAGGAAAAGCACCAATGAGTCCCCAAGAAGTGACAACTCTGCATGTGGACCTTTGTGGCAGGATCAAGAGGGGCAAAGGACCTGAGCCTTTCCTGGTGACCAGGGGCCTGAGGCTGACAAGACAGCTGGACATCACCTTCAGTGCTGAACTGTGCTCAGCTTTGAAACAGGCTGCTTAACACGAGTAAGAGCCACTGTGGGCTTGTTCCCGCCCCCCAACCCCCAGCTGCCCCATTCTACAGGGCCCCAGAGCCCTCCACATGCTTGCTCAGCATGATCCCTGCTGAAATAAACCATTCTGGGCGGGGAAGGCTGGCAACAGCTGTGGGCTGCTTGGTGTCCTTGTCAGAGCTCAGCCCTCCACCCATGCTCTCAGCCCAGCGCCCCCTGGTCTGTGCCTTTGGAGGTTCTCAGAGTTAGTGATGCTCCTGGTTACCTCTGCTTCTGCTGCCCAGTCATTGCTCCCTCCCTGGATGGGTGGAGCAGAGTGTCGCTGCCATGAACAGCTGGGAAGGGGCAGCCATGATTACAGGTGGCCACTGGGTGTCCCTGGTCATGACACCTGGTCATACAGGCAGCATTACCTATTCTCTGCTCCCATCCCTCATGGCCTGGCTAGTCAAAGCTGTGCAGAGTCCATCCCTGACTTGCTCTAACAGGTACCTGCCTCAGTTTCCTCATTTGTAAGTGTCTGTCCCTACGTAGTCTGTGCAGCTGAGCATAGCCTGATGTGGGCATGGCCCGGTGTTCCCCTACCCATCCTGCAAGGGCCACCTCTGCCCTTCTGGCCCCAGTTCTAAGGTCCCTCACCCCGTCCCCCGCTACATGCTGCTCCCACGTTCAGGCTGGCAGACAAGTCAGACTCATGGCCCAGAGCAGAACTTCATGGTCAAGGTCACAAACCCACCTTGGTTGCCATCACTGCCCCCAAAGGCTCTCCTGTTTTGTTTTTTGACTGGGGACTTACAAGGTTTTCCAAAGTAACTCAACATCAGCCCTAACAGCTGTCTTCCTTTGGGGCAGGAGTGCCTGGCAGGTCCATCTTCCAGATCTGACTCCTAACAGATGGTCATGAGGCTCTGGTACCTCACCTGTGTGAAAGGTGGAGGCAGCCTGGCACTAGGAGCTCAAGTACAAACCCCTCCTGTGTGCCAAGGCCTGGGACTGGGTCACCAAAAATCCCATGTCCTGGGAAGGTTTGTGTTGGTTAGCAACCTAGGCTGCAGGGTGGATGCAGCAGGTGTTGAACCTGGCCTTAAAAGTACCTTAAAAGGCTGGCCTGGTACCTGCCCTTCCCAGGACTGCCAGCCTTGGTGGATGGGCATAGTCTAGACGGATGCTCTCCTACTCCCTCCTCCTGCCCTCTCCAGGGACTGCTCCCACCCTGAACAAGAGCTAGCACCTCTCTGGAGCTGCACAGGGAGCAAAGCAGCCTCCAGATAATGCAGTGAATGTGAGAGAGCACATTCTTGGGGACACACAGTGACACCCAGCCACACCACCCCACTCCCCTGCTGGCTGGCTTCTCTCTAGAGCATCTAGAGTTCTGAGTCAGCCTAGGGAGCTGCCCGGGCCTCTGCTCTCTACCCCCTCATCTGTAACATCTATCCCCTCCTGAGCTACCTATCTCCCCAAATGGAGCCACGTAAACCCCAGAACTCCTAGGAATGGGGTTCCTGTTCCAGCTCCCAGGGCGGCAGCCTGGGAATGAGCCTGGCCCCCACCTACACACACCCTCTCCTATCTGCCAGGGTACATGCTCCCTGGCCCCGGCCATAATCCACCTCTGTGGCTGCGTGCCAGTGGCCTCCCTGAGCTACTAGACAGGCCGATCTTCCCAGAGCTCACAGCCCAAAGGGGAGACATACTCAGGCCACAGGCAGCTGGTCCAGTGTAGGGCAGAGGAGTCAGGGGAAGCATGCCAGGGAGAAAGGACGTTTGGGGCACAAGGCTGAGAGAACAGGGTCCTTGTGTTCTGGACCGAGCGGCCATGACCACCAACCACCCTGGGTTCTCAGGTTGTTGGAGAGTGTGGAATGAAGGGGACACCGAGGAGAGGATGGGCCTGTACCACAGGAACAAAGAGGTCAGCAAGTTGGAGACTCAGAGGCCCAGGGGACCTCAGCCATGTCTCACACAAAGGAGTCCCTCTTACACTGCCCACTCAGGCTCGACTCACCAAGTACCGTGAGCCCCAGCTCAGGCTCACCTCTCAACCGCTCAACCCCAGTTCCGGGCAGAGCACTGGGACCAGCGATCTGCTGAGACTCCTCATACCATGCCCGCTGCTCCAGTGGCAGAGGGCGAACCGTGGCCTGAGGTCAGGGTCAAGCCAAAGAAACCACCAGAAGCCAGAATTCCAGGGTCCAACAGGCCCACCCCATCCCCCCAGGCCAGCACGTGGTTTAGGGTGACACTTCCAAAGTCCTTTATTGGGCCAGCAAGGCCGGGAGCTGCCCTCAAGAGTGGGATCCTACTGTGGAGTTTTGAGTCTGCGGTGTCCCTGCCCCTGTTCTGCCAGGGTGGGCGACCTCTGCTGGCTGGCTACTTGGTGTGCTCCTTCACGTACTCCCAGCCCTCCTTGGAGTACTGGACGGCCTTGGAAGGGGCCACAGACAGAGCCGACATCACCCTGATGATCCCTGTGGGGAGGGTGTGGGTGCCAGGTGAGATCCACCCCCCACATCTCAGCCAACCCCCAGGGAAGCCTACAGGCAGCAACTTCCAACAGGGAAACTGAGGCAGAGGCAGGGGAGGGGCTTGCTCACAGGACCAGCTCAGATGTGGCCCCAGCCACAGCCCTCCTGTTCTACCAGGCAATGCACAAGTCAGCCCTCCAAGGAGGCGCCGTCATGGTGCCTTTGCCTGGAATCTCTGCCCTGTCTCTTTTAGATCCACAAGGAGCAGAAAGAGAGAAAGACAGAAAGGGATGGCTAGGAAACCAGGGAGAGGAGCTAGGCTGGGGTGTCCGGGCACCCCCCACGCAGAGGCAGCGGCTTACCTGAATTCCAGGACTCTCGGATGGGGAAGTTGATCTTTGGCGGGTTTGGAAGCTGGGAAGAAAGAGGAGCAGAGGGGATGGAAAATGGGGAAGGGTGAGCAACGCCATCACCCCCACTGACAGAGGACACCAGGAAGGGATGGAAGGACCCAACGTCACCCCAGAGCTGACCTCCTGCCCAGCCCAGACCTCACTCCAGCGTTGGGTACCTGTGGTAGCTGCAGGCCAGTCTGCTGGCACACGTACTGGCTGAACTGGTACATGGCAGGGGGCACCACCTCCTTGGCCTTCCGCAGGGCCGCCTCACTCTTGTCGCTGGGCCCCAGAAGCTCCTGGTCATAGACTAGGTAGACGGCGCCCCCAGCTACACTGCCTTTGATGAGGAACCTGTGGGCAGGGGAGGGGACAGAAGCTTAGTGGACACCGCAGGCCACCTACGACAGAATCTGACCCTCCAGGGGTCTCACAGTCCAGTGGGTGACATGCTAGAATGGGAAACAGAGGGCACTGTGGGACCCCTCTTAGACACAGCGTTCAACTAACATTATGCAAATCAGGGCCACTTTAACTGGTAAACCAACGCCAGAAAAGGAGACACTGGGTCATTCGAGGTCCTGCACAGTGCAGGGGACAGTGGACATTTAAGACTTTTGACCTTCCGCAGCCTTCCAGCTCAGGGAGGGACCCTCAGCGAGCAACCCCCGTGTTCTTCGAAAAGTCCCCAGGCGCTTCCTGCCGGGCACACTCTCGGCTCAGGGTGCGAATTAGCATCAGGACAGCCACGAGCGGCGGGCGTTCCCAAATCACAGACACGGCAACTGAGCCTCGCAGGACTCTTGGCCACAATGGGTCGGACGACGAGGGCTCGCTGAGAGGCAGGAAGGAGGCGATGACGACTGCGGGAAGCTTGTTTCCCAATGAGCCCGTTTTCCTATGTGGGCCATACGGAGAGGGGCTGACACCATGCGAAGCAAAGGGAATGGGGGAGACTAAACCGATGGGAGTGGGTGTCTGCAGCAAGAAACTATCTCAGGGACTCGGGGCCCACCCGGCCCCACGCACCTCATAAGCGACCACACTCTGGCCACCATGGTCGCCCCGCTCCGCGCGCAAGGACACTCGACTCTCCCGCTGCTTCCGGTTACGGCGATTCAGAGGCTGCTGGGAGATGTAGTCCTCTTGTCAGCCGCAAAGGCCTCCGGGACTGGAAATTTCCTTAGCTTGGTAGCCGCAAAGCTTTCAGGGAAATGTAGTCAACAATATTCCAGAAAGAGCCGGGCCGCGACGCCTGATGGGAAATGTAGTTCGGCGGATTATGAAGTGTGAAATACAGGAGGCGTTGGGCGTCCAGAGTAAAGCCTGAAGGTGTTTCAGAAAGATGGAAGATCCTCTCGCGCCCGCGCGAGGGACTAAGGGCCCGGACTTAGGAAGAGGAAGCCTAGAAAGCAGTTGTCACGGCAACGCAAGGGCGGGTTTGTTCGAGAGAGCCGGGGCCTCGTTCACGTAATTGAGGCGTGGCTTCCCGTCAAAGGGGTACGGTCACATCGCGGCTGGAAGGGAAGGAACCCGGCATAGGCCGTTGCCTGGCAACGCTGGGGCGCGGAGTCTCAACGGCCAGCCCCTCCGCGGAGGAGTTGGGCTCAGGGTCACGTGACTCAGGACCCTACGGAAGGGGGCGCGGTCGGGGGGCTCAGACCGGACGCCGTCTGGAAAGGAGGCCGGAGGACCACGTTCTCTTCGATCCTAGGCCTGGATCCCACTACTGCTGTATGGTAGGGGAAACTGAGGCCCAAGTGAGTGAGTGCAAGGTCGAGGTGCGCGGTGAGCCATACGCCCCCTTTGTCCAGAAGGGAAGCTGAGGCCGGGCGAGGTCAAGGTGGCCAGTGCGTTCTGCAAGTCTCCTTCCCCTAGTTCCTCCCGCATCCTGACCTAGCCGCTTCAGCCATCCATCTACCCGTTCTTTCCATCCGCCCATCTGTCCATCCATCTGTCTACCTGACCGTCCATCCATCCATCCATCCGGCCCCCCGCCCCCGCTGGGCTGCTGTGGTCAGAGGATATGAAGAGGGTTCAGCCCTGGGTCTCATGGGCTGCCTGTGAAAATGGGGTGATGGGGGCGCGTTTCTCGCTAAGGGCACGCTGGCTCTTGCACGAGGAAGATTGAGGAGTTTGCTCTTCAGTACTGTACTGAAAGGATCAGTACACATGTGAGAAGGAGCCAGACTCACCGGCCCAGGTGAGGTTTGGTCTCCTTTTGAGCGGTGAAAGCGCTGAGGTTTGAACCTGGAAGGGGCACAGCCCGATTTTTGTTTTTTTTTAACGAAGATCCTCTTGGCTCTGTCAACAGGAAAGGATGGGACCTTGGGGATGGGAGAACCAGGGAGGAGGTGAGGAGGCCAAAAGGATGGAGGGGAATCAGGCAGAAGGCAAGGTTAGGAGTCCAGGAGGGAGGTGAGGAGCCCTGGGAGAGAAGGGACCAGCAGGGGCTAAGGAGTCTCGGAAAGGCCCAGAAGGCAGTGGGAGTAAAGAACTCAGGGCTGCCTGTAGAGGGGGAGACCCCAACCCCACCGCCTCCCCCTGGGCCCTCTCAGCTTTCTGGATTTGGGAAGCTCCCTCCCCTTGTCTCATGGACTTCAGAGAACGGTAATCCCAAGATATAATGGGCCTGTAGCCTTTACTGAGGAGACCGATGGCCCTGACACTTTAAGAATGCATCCCGTAGCCCAGACCTGAGTATCTAATCCTAGATACTCAGGGGGCAGACATCAGGAGGAATGGGGTTCGAATCCAGCCCAAGCAAATAGTTCAGGAGACCCTATCTCAAAAATATCCAAGACAAGACTGGTGGAGTGACTCAAGTGGTAGAGCACGTGCCTAGCAAGCCTAAGGCCCTGAGTTCAAATCCCAGTACTGCTGAGAGAGAGAGAGATTTGGGCTTTTTTCTTTTTCTTTTTTTCCTCCCTGGAACAAGTAAATCAACCCACAAATCTCAAATCATATCCTAACCCCAGGACATCCAGGCCCGAGTGTCAACCCTCTGAGCATCTCCAGACAGAGTTCTCTCTGGTTGTCCTCAGTCTCTCAGTCTCACGCACAGTTTGGGACACTGAGGAACCCACTCAACAAAACTAAAGCAGGTTTCTCTTTCCTTCCTGCCCTCTAGGAGCTGACAGTCTAAGAGGAGAAAGGGACAGTGAACATGTAACAAATTACCAAGATTCTTTCAGGTAATGACAGAAGCTGAGACAGGATGAGTTAGGGAAAAGCTGTAGGAAAGCTAGCCCCAGAGTTGGGGGACACTTATTTAGGAGTATGTCATTCCTGTGAGCTGAGAGTTGAAAGAAGAGTTACTTTGGGGAAAAGCATTCCAGGCAGAGAGAACAGCGAGCACAAAGGCCCTGGGGCAGGATGGTGAGTAGTATCAGAAGGAGGGAGGCAGCCTGGCTCTAGTGGCTCACCTGTAATCCTAGCTACTTGGGAGGCTGAGATCTGGAAGACAGTGGCTCAAGAGGTAGAGCATCTACCTGCTTTACAACCTGAGTTCAAAAAGAGCCCAGTCCCACCAAACAAAAAGAAGAAGAAAAAGAAGAAGAAGAAGGGTGGGGGATAAGAACACATAGCACACAAAGTCCTACCCAATAAACATGCGGCCCTGGCCAGGCCTGTGCAGGCCTCCCTCTCTCCTGCTGCAGGCCCTCGGAGGCAATGAAGGTGCTGCTCCTCACTGGGCTGGGGGCCCTGTTCCTCACCTACTACTGGGATGACAACTTCGACCCAGGTGAGTGCTCGGGGTGGGGGAGGGAGGACTCCTGGGGGCTGTCCTGTCTCTGCCCCAAGCCTGACCACCCCTGCTCCCAGCCAGCCTCCAGGGAGCCCGTGTGCTGCTGACTGGGGCCAGTGCTGGTGTTGGTGAGGAACTGGCCTATCACTATGCACGCCTCGGCTCGCACCTGGTGCTCTCTGCCCCCACTGAGGCCCTGCTGCAGAAGGTGAGTCACCGTATTTCCCCATTTCCAGTTCAACGTGGGAAGTGGAAGGGGGAGGACTTGGGAGGAGAAAGAAGGGTGGGTTGCTATTCCTGCAATGATTTAGGCTTCCTGTGTGACCTCGGACAAGTCACTTAACCTCTCTGAGCTTCAGTTTCTTCATTTGCAAAATGGAAACATAAAAGTACCTTCCCATGGGTTACGGGCTGGGCAGATTCAGGAAGACTGGACGTAAACCTTTAGGAGTGTTTCTGGGTAAGTGGGGCATTGACAGTGCTCAAGCCACACCGATAGCCAGGGGTCTCAAACCTGCTCAGCCTCGGTTCTCCCACCCTTAGAAAAAGAAGAGCCGGGCGCTGGTGGCTCACGCCTGTAATCCTAGCTGCTCAGGAGGCAGAGATGAGGACGATTGCAGTTTGAAACCAGCCCAGGCAAATAGTTCTGAAGACCCTATCTCGAAAAAAACCCTTCACCAAAAGAGGGCTGGTGGAGTGGCTCAAGGTGTAGGCCCTGAGTTCAAATTCCAGTGTGGCAAAAAAAAAAAAATATGTTGCAGGTGTTCAAGAGACGCCAAAAATCTGAGCTCTGGGAATGATTTGAGTGGGACCTGAGACGGAGCAGGCATGGGGCTTCAGGCGGGATCTTCCATGTAGCGGGCAGGTGGAGAGGAGCCACCTGGGCAGAAGCCCGCAGGCAGCTCTGATCACCCCTCTAGGTGCTAGGGAACTGCCGGAAGCTGGGCGCCCCCAAGGTCTTCTACATCGCAGCGGACATGGCCTCCCCTGAGGCACCCGAGCACGTAGTGCAGTTTGCTCTGGACAAGCTGGGTGAGGGGCGGGGCCTGCAGTGGAGGCCAGGACCAGAATTGGGAGGGAGGGGAAGTAGTTACGGGTGTCTGCGGGCGGGGACTTACGGGGTCCTGGGGCTTGCAGGGCGAAGGCTCATTGCATTAAGGGGTGGAACTCTGGACAGGGCCACATTCAATGGGGACGAAACTTTGCAGGATTAAGGGAGTGGGTAGAGCTCGTTGATCTCAGGGGGCGGGGCTTCGTGTGGCCCAAGGCGGGACTTCAGAGGCTACCCAGTACTGACCGGCCTTTCTGGGCTAGGTGGGCTGGACTACCTCGTGTTGAACCACATCGGCAGCACCCCGGCCGGCATGCGGTCCCGCAGCGCCCAGGCCACGCGCTGGCTCATGCAGGTGCTCCGCCCCGCCGCGGCTCCGGCCCCGCCCCTCACCCTCACAGGCCCCGCCCGAGACCCGCCTTCCCCCTGGACGTACTCCTTCCCGCCTCCATTGGGTTCTAGGCCCCGCCCTGGCTGTCACTTCTTCCCGCCTCCGTCCTCGACCCTGCCCATCTCAGATCCCAGGCTCCACCCATCTTGGCTTTTGCCCCGCCCCGAGCTGGTACCCAGCCCTCTGGCCCCGCCCCTGGGGTCCTAGACTCCGCCCCTAGCTGGCGCTCCTCGCGTCTGTCCGCGTGCCCCGCCCGCTGGGGCGTAGGCTCCGCCCTCTTCTGGGCGCCGCCTCGCCCAGTGACTCGCGGCCGCCACCTGCAGGTGAACTTCCTGAGTTACGTGCAGCTGACTTCGTTGGCGCTGCCCAGCCTGACAGACAGCAAGGGCTCCCTGGTGGTGGTGTCCTCGTTGCTCGGTGCGTGTAGGCGGCTGTGGTTCGGCGGGGCTGGAGTGGGGAGGTCTGCGGGTTCGGTGCGCGCGAGCCCGCGGCAGGCGGGAAGGCTTCCTGAAGGAGGCGAACTCAGCCGCCGCGCTCCCGCGCCCCAGGCCGCGTGCCCACGTCCTTCTCCACCCCGTACTCGGCGGCCAAGTTCGCGCTGGACGGCTTCTTCGGCTCGCTGCGGCGGGAGCTGGACGTGCAGGACGTGAACGTGGCCATCACCATGTGCCTGCTGGGCCTCCGAGACCGCGCCTCCGCCGCCGAAGGCGTCAGGTGAGGCCCGGGCGCGAGCGGGGGGCCGTGCAGCCACCGCCGCGGTCCCCACCACGCTCTCCCGTCCCCAGGGGCGTCACGAGGGCCAGGGCGGCGCCCGGGCCCCAGGCGGCCCTGGCGGTGATCCGCGGCGGCGCCACGCGCGCCTCCGGCGTGGTGTTCCCGTGGCGCCTGCACCTGCTCCGCCTGCTGCGCGGGTGGCTGCCGCGCCCGCGGGCCTGGTTCGTGCGCCAGGACCTCAACGTCTCCAACGCCGCGGCAGCCTGAGCCCCGCCGGGGCCGCCTGTCCACGTGCTCTTGCAGCCAGGACGCTGAGAGACACCTCGCGCCGCCACGACAGAACAGCGAAATCGAGACACGCACCCACGCGCACACCAAGGCCCCGAGACAATTGCAAAGTCTTGGAATGCTCAGCTCAGCCTTTCCGGCCGTCACCATGACAGCGTTGCTCCCACTTTGCAGATGAGAAAACTGAGGCCCAGGGGAGTGGTGTGACTTGGCCCAGTCTGCTTCTTCCTGGGAGCACCAACTACCCCGCAGCTGAACTTCTGGTAGTCTTGACACCGCGGGGAGCCTCTCGGCCAGCTGCCCACCTGATGGCGGGCCGAGCAGGAGAGCGGTTCTGAGCTGGACTCCGCCTCGTGTTTCATAATAAAACTTCTTCCCTTGCAGTACATCCGTGGTTCAGCTTCTCAGGCCTTCCCATTTGTGTGAGTGGGGAGACGCGCAGGAACTGCCCACCCATTTCCCAGGTGGAGAAATGGAGGCCGAGACACAGAGGCCAGCCTCACTTGGGGAGCCGGGTGGAAGGAAGGATGGGTTTGCAGTAGTGGTTCGCGGATCAGTGATAGCACATCGGGCCCTCACCCTTGACAGCCACCGCCTCAGAACATCTTTGCGGCCGGCGGTCGGACCCATTCGGGGATGAGGACCCTGAGGCTTGGAGAGAGGGCAGTAGCAGAAGCTGGGATTCCCACACTAGACTGTCCCCTCTCCCTGCCCCCCGGTGCTGGGATTGACCCCAGGGCCTTGGCCCGTGCTAGGCCAGCGCTCTACCGTTCGGGCCATGCCCCGAACCCACATTGTTCCCTTTCGGGCAAGGTGTGGGCCTGTGTGTAGCAGAGCAGGTGCAGACAGCAAAGCAGTGATGCTTGCATACAGGAAGCAATTACGCACAGAATGAATGCAGAGTGCAAACGCTGCTACTGTGGGCTGTCAGCTTAGAAAGACCCCAATCGGGCCAGCCCGAAATTGAGATTCTCTTGGAGATAGTGGGATTGAAAGAGAAAAAACGGGGACAGGGGCGGGTGAAGAAGAAAATACAGAAAATTCAGAGCCTTGTTTGCACCAAATGATTCAAAATTATTTAGCGTCTCATCCTTGCACCACCTTAAATTCCATGAGATGCCACCTGGGGGCGCTGCAACGGCTCTTTTCATGAAAACTTCCGTTCACGGAGGTTTTCTTTGGTGCCAGATACCAGTTCAGCATTACTATTACCCTCATTCTACAAATGAAAATTGAGTTTCTCAGAGGTTCAGTTGATGGCACGGGGTTAGCCAACAGGGGCTGACATGGGATTCACACTTATTTTTTTCTTTTTGCAGTACTGGGGTTTGAACTCAGGGTTTTGCGTTTGCTAGGCAAGCACTTTCCAACTTCAACCTGTTTTTTTTTAATTTTTTGAGATAGGATTTCACTACGAAGCCCAAACAGGCCTGGAACTTGCTATGTAGTCCAGGCTGGTCTTGAACTCGTGATCCTCCTTCCTCCTCCCCTCCAGTTGCTGGGATTTCAGGCTTGCACCACCACCCCGGCTGAGATTTGGACTTGAAAAAAAAAATCTCTACTAGGGATTGAACTCAGATCCTTGCAAACGCTCTGCCACTTGAGCTTCGTGCCCATGGCATCGCAACTCTAGTTACCTGCAGAGGGGTGGCACCGCAGCAGACAGCCACACGCACAGACTGACTCGGTCTCTGGCCCGCAAGCGTCATCGCGCATGCTCACGAGGCCGCAGAACCCTCCCGCCGCCAGGGGGCGCGAGCGGCCTTCCTGACTCTCTGGCCCGCTCGCTCGGATGGGAGTAAATATCCCAGAGTTCCGCGCGGTCCTGGTCCTTCCGCCCCAGAAGCCATTGAAGACCGGCAGGTAGGTCGGTTTCTACGCGGGTGCCATCCGCCGCCATCCGGCTCGGCGTGTCCTTTAGACGGTGGCTGGGTGCGGCGAGCGCGCCGGAGGGAGCCGGGACGCGGGTTTCCGGGCGGCAGGGGCCGAGCCAGGACTCGCCGTCACCCTATTTCCCCCTCGCCTCTCGCAGCCATGGCTCTGCGCTACCCCATGGCCGTGGGGCTCAACAAGGGCCACAAAGTGACTAAGAACGTGAGCAAGCCGAGGCACAGCCGGCGCCGCGGGGTGAGTGCCGGTAGGGTCTGCGGGTGCAGCTGTGGGGCCGCGGCGGGAGAAGGGCCGAGTTGCCGCACCCTGGGCTGTCCCTGCCGGTGCGGGCGGAGCTAAATCCGATTTAGCTCCGATGCGTGGAGGCGAGCTTGGGGTTTTTACGCACGTGTAGGAGTTTGCCCAAGGTGGGAATGGTGGTATCCTGCTGTGTTGCCTCCCGCCTCTGCCCCGGGTATTTTGGGCTTGTTTTTGCGGGCTGGGTGGTGGTGTGGCACAGGGCCGGGTCGCCGGGCTCTGGGAGGCCAGGGTCCTGACTGGCCCTGTCCCTTAGCGCCTCACCAAGCACACCAAGTTCGTGCGGGACATGATCCGGGAGGTGTGCGGCTTTGCGCCCTACGAGCGGCGCGCCATGGAGCTGCTCAAGGTCTCCAAGGACAAGCGGGCCCTCAAGTTCATCAAGAAAAGGGTAGGTGGGCCGCCGGGCTGGGCGGGGGCGGGGCCGGGTGGGCGCAGCTGATGGGGGCCTCCTCGTCCACCCGCAGGTGGGGACGCATATCCGCGCCAAGAGGAAGCGCGAGGAGCTGAGCAACGTGCTGGCCGCCATGAGGAAGGCAGCGGCCAAGAAGGACTGAGCCCTCACCCCCGATGTCCCCACAATAAATGTCTCCGTTCACATCAGCCCGTGTCACTTACTCTGTCCTGGTGCTGGGGGTAGAGAAGGAGCAGCCAAGTTGTACAAGAAATGCTTTACTCATGATCACACAGCTCGGCTCCGCGCCACTCTCCATGATTAGGCTACCGTGGGTCCCTGTCAGGCCTCAGCACTGTCCTGGTGGCAGTGCCAGCCGTCACCGCTCAAGGGCCAGGGCCTCTGCCTGCTGCTCAGGGAAGGGGAAGGCGATGTGGAAGACTTCTCCGTAGTGTTCCACGAAGTGCACCTCCAGGCCCTCGGTGATGAAGGCCGCCAGGTCATAGAAGTCTTTCTTGTTCTCAGCTGGCAGCACGATGCATGTCACACCTGCACGCTTGGCCTGCAGGACCAGGACCCAGGTGAAGCAGCTCCCTTCCTCATCCTCAGCCCTGTCCCTCCACCTGGTCCCAGCTACGACGGCTATGCAGTGACCCCTGCCCTTCCCTCAGGACAGTCCATGGGGGCAGTTCTAGAGCAGCCTCAGGTCCTGGAAAGACCAGGAGCCAGGGGGTCAGCACCTCCCTCACCCACATCAGTTCTAGGACCCTGAACTGACACCCATCATATGACAGTGCTACGAGACACTCACCGCTATGGTCTTCTCTTTAATGCCACCCACAGGCAGGATCTTGCCAGTCAGGGACACCTCACCCGTCATGGCCAGGTTCTGCCGGACAGGTCGGTCCATGGCAAGGGACAGCAGGGCTGTGACGATGGTGCAGCCGGCGCTGGGACCATCCTTTGGCGTGGCGCCCTGTGGGGGGAGGCAGATGAGTGGTGGCCAGTCCACAGCAGCCTTGCAGTGGCAGGAGCTAGCTGGGGAGTGGGGGAACAGCTACCTCTGGCACGTGCAGGTGGATGTGCGAGGTCACTAGGTAGTCATTGGTGGGGTCCTGCTGCATCAGGAACGCCCTGGCGAAAGTGTACGCAATGCGGGCACTTTCCTTCATCACATCCCCCAGCTGGCCTGTCATCTCCAGGGTGCCGTCCTTGTCCCCCTTCCCATCCCTGTCTGGTGGTCTTCTCAGAGATGTCTCAACAAACAAGGTGGAGCCTCCTGCAGATGAGGTACAGAACTCATGAGCCTTGGGTGCCCCCACACTCCTGTGTCCCCCACGTTCCCTGCTGCCTGTCCAGCTGCCCGCCCACCAGTCCAGCTTCACTCAGCCATGGCCAAAGCACAGGAGTGGGAGGTGGAGGGAGCTGTCCTTGGGTCCCTCGGTAGTGAGAGGGCCCGCTAGCTCACCCATGGCAGTCCAGGCCAGACCCATGACCACGCCGGGTGGTGTCACATCATACATGCGCTCCACCGTGAACATGGGCTTTCCCACAAAGTCTTGCAGGTTCTCAGGTGTCACCTCTACTGTCTCTGCCTCGCCACTCACAATCTTGTAGGCTGACTTCCGCAGCACCTGGGCAGGTGGGTCAGGGGTCAGATGGGCAGCCACGTGGGAAAAGAGGGCTGGGGGCCAATGGCACTCACCTTCTCCACCTGCTTCTGCAGGTTACGCACGCCGCTCTCCCGACAGTACTGCTTTATGAGCAGCGTCAGTACATCCGATGACAGCTTGGCCTTAGTCTCATCCAGGCCACACAGGGCTCGGGCCTGGGGCACCAGGTACCGCTGTGGGGGTTGTGTCAGGCCAGGTCAGGATCAACCCCTCTCCCACAGCCTTGCCGCCTATCCAGGGCCTGCATGGGTCACAGGGCACCCTGGAACTAGTACTAGTGCAGGGGGGCTGGACTCTAGAGTAAGGAGGCAGTGAGGGCCCAGCAAGCACTAGGTGCTACAAGTGACTAAGGACCTGTAGCCACCTGGCCTTGTCTACACCCTGCTGCACCTGAGGCTTTGTGCTCTCCTCTACCTGCTCCTCTGTCATGTTAGATACCACTTCCTCCAGAAAGGCCTCAGGCTCTCCAGGCTGCCCCACTGCAGCCTAGGGGCTGTGTGGTAGCTGATTACCTGACTCTCAACCTCAGCAAGCAGACGGGGACAGACTCTGAAGCTCCAGGTTGGGTCACCCACAGCTTAGCTCAATTCCCACCACACAGGGCCACTTGCCAGATAAGACTGGAGGCCTGCCGATGTTACTGCAGACCTCTGTCATGCAGAACAAGTCATTGGGGGCAGTCACTGCAGCTAAGGGTCATCTCATCCTTCCCCTCTGCCTTCAGATCCTAAAAAGCTCAGCTCTGGGAAACTAGACAGGGCAACACATGGAGGGACAGAAGGCAAGGGCTGTCGAGCTCAGGAGAGACATTCAATAGAGCAGATCCAGACCACTTAGAGATGCCACATCTCCTGAGCACCTGGGAGGCTCCAGGTCCATCCCACACCCAGGCAGCATGTGCACTAACAGTGCAGCCTCATGGGGTCACTCTGCAGGGAATGGGAGGTCCTCAAGGCAGGATGACTGTGACATTTGTGTGACATTAGCGTCCAGCAGCTCTGAAGCCCAGGCACATTCGAGGCAGCCTCTGCCCCCAGCACTGAGATAGCAGGTAGTTAGGTCTCACCTCCGCAATGGCCAGCTTCTCCTGGGCCACATAGCCAGACACATTGATCATCTCCATGCGGTCCCTCAGTGGCTCAGGGATGGTGTCTGTGACATTGGCTGTGCAGATGAACAGCACCTGTGGGGAGGCAGCAAGGTGCTGAAGTCCCAGCCCTTCATCCCAGCGAGCACAGCCCCAGGCGGGCAGGTGAGCAGGCCCACACCTTTGACAAGTCAACAGGCACGTCCAGGTAGTGGTCCAAAAAGTTGGCATTCTGCTCGGGGTCCAGCAGCTCCAGCAGTGCTGACGATGGATCCCCCTGGTAGCCTCGGCCAATCTTGTCCACCTAGGGTAGTGGTAGGCAGGTGGCATGGCTCCTGGTGCACTCACCATGGACTCAGGAGTAGGGCCGACTTGCCCTCGTGGTCACAGCCAGCAGCACTGCGACACCAGGGGACATGTCTGCCCAGGGAGGGGAATGGGCACACACCTCATCTATGAGGACCAGGGGGTTCTCCGTCTTGGTCTTCTTCAGACACTGGATGATCTTCCCAGGCATGGCCCCCACGTAGGTCCGCCTACAGGAGAACGCACAGTGGGCTCAGCTTGACAGCTCGCACCACCTGCCATCTGGGCCACGAAATCCACACCCACCACATGGCCAGGGTGGAGACCGTACATACTCTTGGCTGCCGAGTGGGCTGTGGCCTGCAGAGCACACTGGCACTAGGCTTGTGCACTGGGAGACACCAACACTCCCTTCCAGCCAGATTGTGGCAGCACTCAGTCACAGCCAGATCCTGTCCCATGGCCTGCACCTCCTGCTCAGCCTAGGTTCTGCCACCCTTAGAAAAAGAAGGGCCGGGCACCAGTGGCTCATGCCTGTAATCCTAGCTATTCAGAAGGCAGGGGTCAGGAAGATCACGGTTCGAAGCCAGCCTGGGCAAATGATTCAGGAGCCTCTATCTCGAAAATACCCATCACAAAAAAAAATAGGGCTAGTAGAGTAGCTCAAGGTATAGGCCCTGAGTTCAAACCCTAGTACCACAAAAAAAAAAAAGAGATCTGGAACCAGACATGGTGCACATCTATGATCCCAGCTAACCAGGAAGACTGATTTTGAGGGCAGCCCAGGGGAAAAGGTACCAAGGCCCTGTCTCAACAATAATAAAAATAGAGCTGGTGGAGTGGCTCAAGTGGTAGAGTGCCTGACTAGCAAGTTTGAGCCCTGAGTTCCACCCTGGGGCTGAGCCTTTACAGAGGGACAGCAGACACAACCCGGTCCCTGGGCTGGAAACACTGTACATGAGAGGCACTGGTGGGGCCTGGCCGCAGCCGACTTCTCACAGGGTGCTTGCTTCCTAACAAGCTGCTAGACCTGCCCCAGCCAAGGGGCCTGGCAGCGGGCAGGGCTAGGCCACAAGGTGGCAAAGGGACAGTGACAAGGCAGGGCACTTTACACACACTAGGAAGGAAAGTGGGGCAGGGGTCCTGAATGCCACCTGTGTGGGGGAGGGTGTGACAGACAGAAGGTGAGGGAGCTATGCGAGCGTTTGGTAGAACAGCATTTTAAGCACAGGCCTTGGCCTGGTGTGTTGGAGGAGCACCAAGAGGGGGGAGCAAGGGCATAGGCGGGAGCCATGGAGGGCTGTGGGCAGAAGGGGTCGGCTGCTGCTATTATCATGACCCAGCTGTCAGCTTCCTGGTCTTGTCCTTGAAACCCAGACTGACGTCAACACAGATGCTCACTGGCCCTGTCCTTCCAAGCCCTCTCCTAGGCCCCTCTCTTGACTCATCACAGTATCAGAGAACACTATGAATTTAGAAACAGTCAAGGTCTCCCCTCACTTGGGCACCTGTGAGGGGGCTCAACCCTGCACCAGTGGCTATGGGGGCCTGCTATCACTGAATGTATGAGAAGGGCTTCCTGGTCTCTCCTGGCACCCACTCCTCAGCCCACAGCCTTCAGAGGCTCAGCCCTCCCAGCTCTCTTACAGCCTGAGCCACCAACCTAGGGCTGCCCTTCATCTCAGAGCCACCACACCAGGACTCACAAGAAGCCACCAGATGTGCTGTGAGCCTGGGGCCAGCACTGCGTATTTAGGGAAATCAGAAACACCACCTTTTAAACTTGGACAGAAAAGTTTTGTCATTTGTTTTGTTTGTTTTTTTGAGACAGGATCTTGCTATATAGCTCAGGCTGGCCTGGAATTCTTGATCATCATGCCTCAGCCTCCTGAGCGCTGGCATCACAGGCAGACCCTCTCTGCCTGGCTACTTTTTCCTTTTGGTGCTAGGATGAACCCAGGGCCTGACACCTGCAAGGCACATGCTCTCCCACTGAGCACCACAGCCCACGGACTCCACCTTTAAAGAGCACAGGTGGCAAGCCCAGAGCCAACATATCTGCTGTCACTACTCTCTTCGAAGAACCATGGTCTGCAGAGGCCAGCATTGCACCATGGGGTCACTGGACACAGGGTTCAGTTCCCCTTAGACCTGGGCCTGAGCCAACCCAGAGGCAGCGGGTTGAGGCAAGGGAGAGATCCTGAGAGTTACTGACCTGTGCCCCTTGATCTCAGCCACATCGGTCATGCCGCCCACACTGAAGCGGAAGTACTCGCGGTTGAGGGCCCGTGCGATGGAGCGGGCGATGCTGGTCTTGCCCACACCAGGGGGGCCATAGAAGCAGAGGATCTTGCCCTGGGTGGAGCCACGGAGCTGGCTAACAGCAATGAACTCCTGGGGACAGAGGCAGGCTCAGTGGGCACCCTAAAACTCTGGCCACTTAGCTTGCCAACAGCACACTGCCTTCCAGACATCTGAGGGCTTCAAGAAGGGATGGAGCTGGTTCCCAAGGTAACAGTGTGATCTAAGCTGTCCCTGCTCTGGGAGGGATCACCAGGTGTCAGGAGACCATGGGTGTCAGGTAGCACCAGCCACACTAGAGCTGCTGAGAATTTACACACGTCTTCCTCCTAAACCTCTGGCATGTCCTCCCTCCAGCCCAGACAATGTCCTGTCCATCAGCCAGGCAGCCCTGACCTGTTTGTTCTCTGGCCTTTTCACTGCAGTCTTTCTGTTCCTGGGAAATTGCCAGCCACAGGGTGGGGGGAACAGGCTGGCAGGGGCCCCAGGCTATCCTGCTGACCTCCAGCTGCTCCCCACCAGCTCCCCAGACCCATCAGGGGACTCCTCACAACACAGACCCACCAGCCACATGCAAAACCAAACCATGAGGACCTGAGTTCGGTACCCCAGTACTGCAAAAGGATGACCACGACAGATCTCGGCCATCTGTGTCCATCCTGGGGTTACTGACTAGGTGCCCAGGCCATGGTTTGTGGTTTTATCAACAGAATTCATGTGCTGAAATCCAATCCCCAAACTGACAGGTTGCTACTGCTTAGAAATGGGGCTATCAGAGCCCCATGGTAACTGATGGCTGTGTAAGCAGCAGCGAGCTCCAGCTGGTGCCTTGTTGTCTCACTGTGTGACACCCCCTACCATGCTGTGATGCAGCACCTTGCACCTGGACTTGCCAGCCCCCAGAACAACAGCTAAGCCATCAAATCGCAAGTGTGGAGCAGGCCAGCGGCATCCGGGTCTCACCAGATGCGCTTCTTCACGTCCTCCATGCCATAGTGGTCCTCCTCCAGCACCGCCTGCGCCCGTGCCAGGTCCAGGTTCTCGTCACTGTGCCTGCCCCAGGGGATGGACGTGAGCCAGTCCAGGTAGTTCCGTGTTACACTGCAGGGATAGAATGCCATGAGCAGGCCCATGCAGCTGGCTCAGCTGAACTGTGGGCTCAGTCTAGCCAGCAGAGTCCACTCCTGGGGTTCCCACCACTCCTGCCTGACACAGGACCTGCCATTGTGGACAGCCCAGGCACCACAAGGTCAGGTGGTTTGCTGTGTGTTGTGTCTCAAGATCAAAGAGGTGCTGACCCTGCAGCTCTGCTATCCATGACTAAGTCACCATCACCACAGAGGGGCAAGGCTCAGAGAGGGGAGAGAATCCACCCCAGGGCAAGTGGAGAAGCAGAGGCCAGGCCTGCTGCAGGGCAGGAGGGGATGGATGTAACCCCCAAGCAGAGGTCTCAGACTAATCTGCAAAGAACATGCAGGCTGGGGCTGACAGCTAGGGCCCAGTATAGGCATCTCAGTCAGACAGCCTATAAGATGGGGTACCAAGGCCTGGTGGGTGGGTGGGCCTGTGGAAGGCCCAACAGCCCCCAGGCAACCAGCACGGAGCGGTACATGGCTCCCAAGACTGCAGACAGGGCCTGTGGTACCGCTGGGCTCAGCCCTGGGAGGCGGGGAGTTATCGCATGCCAGAGGGAATGCTCAACCACACGGACACTGCCACAGCCCCTAGGGAGGCAAACACATGTGAGAGCAGAGTGACCAGCCCCAAAATATCCACATCCTGATCCCCAGAACCCTTGGCTACGCTGCCTATCAAGGCACAAGGGATTAAACTAGGGTTATGTCCCTGGCCCCAGGGTCAGCACAGGGTCCTCGTAAGAGGGAGGGAGGCAGAAAGGCTTGGGGACACTGAGCTGCTGTTCTGAAGAGGGAGGAAGGGGCCGCAAGATGAAGACTGTGGGGCTCCAGGAGCTGAGATGGGAGGACATGATCCCTTCTGGAGCTGCCAGGAAGGAGCAGGCCTGCCATACCTCGGTTTTAACCTAGGGAGGCCCTTGTTGGACTTAAAACTCCAGAACTGTGTGGCAACTCATCGGTGGTATTTCCAAGGCACTGAATTTAGAAACTCTCACCAAACAGTGAAATCTCCCACTCTCTCAAGGACAGAAGGGAGGATGACTGTGGGGCCACAGCCTTTGGAGAAAGCCAGTTATCTCCAGGACCCCTAAGGAGAAGACTCCAGAGTCCCCTGAACATTCTGAGCCCAAGAAAGGCTAGGAGTAGTGGCCTGCAGAAAGGAGGTCCACCCCAAAGAGCTGTCCTGGGGCTGCCAGCTCCACCTCCAACCCCAGCAGTACACTCCATGGGCCAAGGACATGTCCTGCATGGGGGTTGCCCTGCCATGACGCCTGGCTCTGGGCTGTGGCTAGAGCCAGCTACATGGAAAGCAGCCAGCCAGTTGGAGTGTAGGTGGTGTCTAGAGTACAGGACACAGATGCAGCCAATATTCCCAAGGGACTTGAGCCACAGACCCGCACATGGGAGAACAGCCATGCCAGGACTGTAGGGAGACACAGTGAACTCCTGGCTGACTCAAAGCAATGAGGCCACCACAGGAATGAAGCAGGGTGGCTTTGAGTCGATTTTTGGGCCTAGTTAGAGGCACCGGCTCAGAGTCCAGTGCCTTGGCTGAAAGTTGTCATCATCTACAGCCCAGAGGCCCGATTTCATCATCTACAAGGTACAGCTGGAAACAATGACCAGTGAATGACGAAGGCCTAGCACCCCTCAAGGAGGGTGTGCCCACTCAGGCTGGGGCGGGATAAGGCCCCCTCAAGAACCTGACATGTGCCTGGCCTGGCAGGCGCACAGCGCTCACTTGAACTCCGAGGAGTGGTTGTCCAGCAGCCCCAGCTTGCTCAGCTCCTCGTCCACAACGTCCATGACGTGCTTGGGCACCACCAGCATCTTGAGCCGCTCGCGGAACTTCTCCTCGATGGCGTCCTTGTCCTCCTTCTCCAACCCCAGCTCCTTCTTGATGATCTTCAGCTGCTCCTGCAGCAGGTACTTGCGATGCGTCTGCTTGATCTTCTCCTCCACCTGGAGGGCCAGGGCACTCAGAGCAGTGGCAGGGCTGGGCGAGCTGGCCCCTCAGCCCCTCCCAGCACGAAGAGAGAAACCTGGGGCACCAGGCTGCGTGTACCAGGCAAGTGCCGCCGCTGAGCTGTGCCCAGCCCCCCTTCCACTGTGAACGCAAGCCTCCCTGGTGTGGGCCTTGCTGAGGCCGCCTCAGGACGTATCTGCTTCCCAGCCGTAAGCATGCTTGGCCCCAGTCCCTCCCTCACTTCTCACAGCAGGGCTGACCAGGATGCCTCATTAGGCTTATTGTGGGAGCTGCCATGTTTTGACAGCCAAATATGCTTGGTTGCCCATCTGAAGATGGGATAATTTTATCTCCAACCTAGCTAGGTGTGGTGGCTCATACCTGTAATCTCAGCTACTGAGAAGACAAAGATCGGGAGGACTGTGGTTCAAGGCCAGCCCAGGCAAAAAGTTTGGGAGCCATCCCCCCCATCTTAGCAAACAAGCCAGTCATGGTAGTGTTCACCTGTGACCTGAGCTACATGGGAGGCATAGGTAGGAGGATCACAGTCCAAGGTTAGCCTAGACAAAAACACAAGACTCTATCTGAAAAAAAAAAGTAAAACTAGCAACCTAACGAAAAAGGGCCAGGTCATGGCTGAAGCAGTACAGCACCTGCCTAGCAAGCATCAGACCGCAATTCAAACACCAGTAAAAAGATAAAAATGGAAGGCAGACATGGTGGTGCATGCCTGTCATGCAGTTACTCAGGGCTGAGGCAGGAGACCTTGAGCCCAGCTTGGGTAACATACCCAGGCACCACCTCAAAACACGAGAACATGGAATGAGCCGCCTTCCAGGCTCCGCCACCCCCACTACCCCGTGTGTGCTGAGGCAGGCAGCTGATCCTAAGCACCCCTGCACCTCACCTCTCGGCCCAGGCGCTGCTGCAGCTTGCTGAGCTCAAACTCCTTCTTCAGAAGGGACAGGGCCTTGTACAGCCGCTTAGGGATCTGCCAAGAGAGCGGTGCACAGACTGCAGTCAGGCCTGTGAGTCTGTGTGCAGTGAGCAAGCCGCCAGCTACACCACACAGAGGGGTATGCGCCCCCCACATACACACTTTTGCAAAAACAGTGCCAAGCCAGACCCCACAGGCCTGCCCACCACTACCCCAAATACCCAGCCAAAGACTGACTGGACACTAGGACCACCACACATGGACACCATAGCCACTCAGACCGGTGGGGCAGAGGCCAGAGATGGATGAGACACAGGCTGCTGGGACATCATGTTGGAGTCCAGAAGGGGCTGTCAGGCTGACCCGCATGGCACACACACAGTCAGGCAGTCACTCACATTAGTCTCCTCCAGGACATCCTGCAGCTCATGGGACTCAGCCCCAGTCAGCGCGGCCCCCATGTCGCTCAGGTAGATGGGGTTGTCCACCACCCTCTGGCCCGCCTGCATCATTTGCAGCACCGACTCTCTGCAAGGGACCAATGGGACCTTGCTGGGGCAGGGCTCTGACCCCATGGGACTGGCCAGACTAGGAGCCCATCCTCCAGTGGCTCTGGGCAAGGCCTTGGGGATGCCAGCTCTGCTCAGGCAGAGTCCAGAGCCTGACTGCCAGGACTCCCACACAAGCCCCTCCACAGCAATGTGAGTACTGCCAGTTTTGAGACTCCTCCCCAGCTGATGGCCAAACCCAAGAAGGAGCAGCATAAGGCTAACTTGGCCCAGGTTGAGGGGCCTCCCCAGGCCCCATTTCCTGAGAACCCCCTCCTGGCCTACTGCAGAATAGACATCAGTAAGGCCCTCCAGCCCTAGATTGTGTGCCACGTGGAAACTGACCTGTAGAGAGGGTTCAAGGCGATGATGTCCCTGATAGTCTTCACGATCTCCGCAGTTAGGGCCTGGCAAGCAGAGGACCACATGGGCACCCTGGGCCAGGACAAGGGTGGCCCCAGGAGCCCCTCCCACCTACTGCTCCACCACCTCCCCCACACTTGGCCATGGGAACCAAGGAGTAAAAGCCAAGGTCATCAGTGACAAAGGCATAGGGCCAAGGGAGTAAGACTAAAACCAAAACCTGTCCGTGGTACAAGCTGTCTTGGGAATATGAGGGTGCAGGCTGCTTTCTTCCTTCCCCTCTCTCTTCTTCTTCTTTTTTTTTTTTTTTTTTTTTTGCGGTACTGGGGTTTGAACTCAGGGGCTACACCTTGAGCCACTCCACCAGCACTTTTTTTGTGGTGAGTTTTTTTCAAGAGAGGATCTCACAGAACTATTTGCCTGGGGCTGGATTCAAACAATGGTCCTCCAGATCTCTGCCTCCTCAGTAGCTAGGATTACAGGTGTGAGCCACTGGCTCCTGGCTTCCCCTGTATCTTGAGACGGTGTCTCCTTCTGCATCCCAGGGTAGCCTGGAACTTGTAGTTCTCCTGCCTCTGCCTTCTCAGTGCTGAGATTTCCCCAAAGGTGTTTTTTTCCTGTCCTGCAGCCAGGTGTCTCCTCCTCCCCATCCTGGACTCAGAAGGAGAGGCTAGGACAGGGACAGCTGGAACCTTCTGCACAGTGCTGCAAGCTGGTGCTGGACCTAGATACAGATCTTGTTTCTTCCACAAGCAGCAAAGGACCCCACCCTTCCTGACCTTCCCCGTCCCGGCTTCTTCTGAGGACTTCAGGAGGAAAAGTACACTGTTCATTACATAATGAGGAATGAACTGGTTGGGTAGAGGTGTTGCTAGAGTGCCTGGACAGCAAGTGTGAAGCCCTGAGTTCAAACCCTAGCACTGTCCAAAAATAAAATAAACAAGTTTCTTGACTCATACAGTGTGACATTTATAAAAGTAAAGTAAGAAAGAAAAGAAAACAAGAATGAGTGCTGGGTGCCACCTGAGTATGGAACTGGGGCAGCAGGGGTTCTCCAGGAGCCCTGGGCCCATGAGAGCCCTCAGGAGCAGGCCAGAGACTCACCTTCACTTCTTCAGTGACCTGAAAGTCTTCATGGACAACGTTCTCGACTTCCACCATGAGTACCTCATTAGGGGTTTCGGAAGCGGGCTCCATGGCTATGTTCATCTGGGTCTTGGCACTCATGTCATCCTCTGCTTCCTTCTTGCCACGCTTGGCCTTCCTCCGTGGCTTCTGTTTATTCCCCGCATCTGGCTCCTCGGGCTCCACCTCCAACTGTCTGCTGATGTGAATCCTGAGGACAGACAGGCATAGTGAAGCCAGGAACCTGGCAAGTACCGCTGAGTCTGTCACTTCTGAATGAGTGGCAAAGGGGTCACTGGGTCCTTCAGGATGAGACTGCTGCTTAGAACCCCGAGATCCACACTCCCTATGTCCTGCATTCTTACTGCCAATGTTATCAATGTTATGCTATGGTGAGGAGCTCCAGGGTCTCCCAGCAGAAGCTGCAAGATCACCCAAATGTAGGCCATGTCTATCCCTCTGCCTGCCCCACCCTTGACCTTGAACTCATCACCCGGTGCCCCTTTCCTGCTGTTCCCTTCTGACCTCAATTCAAAGGCACCTATGCAAAGAGGTCCTGCCCACATATCCCCCATCACCCTGAACTTGGCTGTTTTGTTTTTGGCGGTCTGGGATTTGAATTCAGTGCTTCCTGCTTGCTAGGCAGGCGCTCTACTGCACAAGACATGCCTCCAGCCCGTTTTGCTCAGGCCAGCCCAGACAACGATCCTACTTACTTCCTACTATTGCTGGGGTGGCAGGCGTGTATTCATCTGTTTAGATTTGGGGTTGGGGAGGGCTCTCAACGCCCAGGCTGAATGGAAACTGCAGTCCTCCCGATCTCAGCCTCCCATGTAGTTTGGGATGACAGACGCATGCTACCGCTCCCCAGCTGTTGGTTGAGATGGGGTCTCACTGACTTTCTGCCCAGGCTGGCCTTCAGCCTCAGTCCTCCTGATTGCAGCCTCCCAATAGGTAGCCTTACAGGTGTGATCCACTGGTGCCTGGCCTGGCCTTGTTTTTTTAAGACAGGGTCCTTCTTACATAGCCCAGGCTGGCCTAGAACACCAGATCCTCTTGTCTCAGCCTCCTGAGTGCTGGGATCATAGGCATGGCCACTGACCCAGCCAACCCTGTCCATCTCTATCCTCCTCTAACGCCCCTGTTACCATCTGAACTCAGTGTGTGGCCTTACTGCTTATATCTGGTGCCCTCCCCACTTGGGGCAGTGGCTCTACAAGGCAGGTCCCTAGCCTGTTTCTTTGTGTCTATCCTAGTGCCCGGCAGACACCAAGCCCTCTGGCACATGGTGAATGGAGTCAGGCTGCTCCATCTCTCTAATCTCTCCTTTGACACCCGGGAGCAATGGCACCTTCCTCAGAGGGTAGCTGATCTGACTCAGCCTGACTGGTGTGGGCCCAATAATCAGAAAAGTGGGGCCAAATGCCAAGAGACCTGGTCTGGGAGCCGGCCCACCTGTCCTGTGATGCACTGGATGAGGCAGCACAGTCGCCCCACCATCTGTGGAGGACTGGCTCCAGAGCTGCAGATACCAAAACATGCAGGTGCTCAAGTGCTTGCACAGAACCCACTCGGATGTCCTTCCTCAGACTTCTATCTAGGAATTATCATACCCGGTGCAATGTCAGTCCTGTCACCACAGTGTTATACTGTGTCACTTAAGAAATAAGAAAAAGTCTACATTGTGTTCAGGAGTCAATTCTCTTTCCCAAATATCTTCAGTCTATGGGTGACTGAATCAGGGAATTGGAACCCACCAATGCAGAGGGCCAATTTCTTACTAGTTATTGTTTTCTTTTTCACTTGCTTTTTTTTTGAGACAGGGGCTTGTTATGAAGCCTAGGCTGAGCTCTATCAACCCTCCTACCACAGCCCACCCGAGTGCTGGGATTATAGGTGGTCATCATGATGACAGACCCCATTGCACCTTAACCTGTCCCTGCTGGCTCATGAATCCTTCCAGGAGATAAAAGAGGTCCCTCATCTCCACCCCAGAGCCCATGGAGAGCAAATGGGCCTGGCACAAAGCAGTGGCACATCTCACAGAGCCAGCACACAGACACCCTTTTGGAGTGTGTTCTGGCTGACCCAAGACAAAGCCCATGACCTGTCTTCACAGAGGTCTCCAGATTCAACAAAACTCCACGAGAGGCTTTTTCTTTGCAGTACTAGTGCTTGAACTCAGGGCCTCACACCTGCTATGCAGGTGTTCTACCATTTGAGCCATTAACACAACAGGAGGGGCTTTTCAGAGCCCACCATGCTGATGAGCAGTGGCTGAACGGTTCCCTCACACATCTGGCCACATCCTGACCTTGCTGGACACCAGTGACCCTAGGCAGAGCACAGAGATTGTCCTTAATGAGCAGTTATGACCCAAAGGTCTAAACTGGGCTAACAAAGGTTACACGTACCCATCAGCAGGACGGGGCCAGAAACTATGTGGGCTGACAAGGACGCTCACTGACTTACGATGGTGTGATGTCCTGCTAAACCTATTGCTGAAAGTATTGCAGAGTTAGAGTAGGAGCTGGGGTGCAGCTCTGGGGCACAGTGCTTGCCTAGGACATGCAATGCCCTGGGTTCCATTCCCAGCCCTGCAAATATCAGGCACTTAATCGTAAATGGAAACGCATAAGCCAGGCATCACAAGGAGCTGCCTTGCTAAGTCACATGTGCCTGCTATAGACACCACCACTTGGAGGAAAGGATTGTGAGACTGTCAACAACTGAAAGCTACCGACTGCACCGCAGACAACCTGCTACTTTTTGAGGAGTCTACAGGTGATCTGTCTCACTGTCCCCAGCTTTGCCTCTGTGCTGGCGATGAGCCTGCAGAGCTGACTGACAAGGGTGGCTCACTGAGGGGACCCAGGGCTCTCCAGGGCTGCACTTTCTGCCTGGTCCACTGTGCTCAGGCACCACGTGCCAATCCCACTGGCCAGCCCACACACCTTCTATGCCCTGTGACGATCATACGCAGCTTGTCCCCTAGGTCCTGCATCTCGTGGATCTGGGCGAACGTCCCTGTGTGGTAGATCTCATCCAGGCTCTCCACCACGTCAGACTCATTGCTGAGGGAGACAAAACATAAAGGTGCACCAGTGCAGCCATGCTCAGCGCAGTGGAGTGTCTTGGGCTGAGAGGTGAGAGGTAAGAGGGAGAAACGCCCCTACAGACCACACCAAGCCCAGAATGGCCTATGGGCTCCCATGCTTGTTCTGGAGCCGGGCAGCACATTTGCCAGCTCAGGGCTGCCAGCACACACGTGTGCAGCTCCTAAGTCAGCCACAAGAAAGGGCTCACATGGAATTTGTCTATCTTCTGTGCTCCTTTTACAGTGCCTGCTCGGAGCACGCCTTGTAACATGGAAGTGGAACTGATTTCTACCTGGAGTCAAGGTGAATATACCTGCATCCCTGCTATCTACCTGGTCAGCTCTGCTTTAATTCCATCTTTATTTTTTTTTTTTTTAAAGCCAGTCAAATTTAGCAGTGGGGGGTTGTATACCAACTTTACTGACACTAATGTTAATAAATTCAGATAACCCACTACCATTGGACCAGCCAATTCCTTCCATCTTAACAAAGCACCAAGGTTTTGTTTCCGTGGTTCTGGAATGGAACCCAGGGCCTGGCTCATGCCAGGCAAGTGCTCACCACTGGGCTGGCCTCAGCTGGTACAGTGGAATTTAAATGCAATAAACCACAAAGTCCTCAGCCCAAACAAACAGGCAGTCTGCCTGGCTCTTGGCTTTGGTTTCCTTTATGTCAAGGAAAAAAGGTCCAAACTACTCTACAGTAGATCAGGGTGAGCTAGGGTGGCTTCAAGGAAGAAAGAATGGCACTTACTTGTCATCTCTCTTTAGAAAGACACCGACATATGGCTGGGCAAGACGGACTTTCCTTCTCAGCAGCTCAACCAACTTCTTATTTTTAACCTAGCATGAAAATGACCTCAAAGTGAAACCCAGGCTACATCTCCTAGCTGACACTTTAAAAGCAGCCCCACACTTGTCTAGATTACTCTCTGGAGCATGCTATTGAGGACACTGGAGGGGATGGGAGATGGAGTGAGATGATATAAACTAGTTGCATTCCTTAGTGGCCCTTCCCCCTTCCTAAAGAAAATCCACAGTACACAAATAGCCAGAGCCAAAAAACTAATGTCTAGTTACAAAACCAGTCTTGGTGGCAAAATTTCTTAGTTTGAAAATCAAACCTATTCAACTTTTATTACTGCCAGGACTAGGCTGGGCATGGTGGTCATGCCTGTAATTCCAGCACTTAGGAGGCTGAGGAAGGACGATCCAGGCAGACTGGATTACACAGTAAGACCCTGTCCTCTCCACACACACCCCCCTCACAAATTAGTACATGAACTGTACATAATTCAAATGTGGCTCACCACACAGGCTGATAACTTCTTCCAATCTTCATGGAAACTAGTTCCTAATTACACCTAATCACACTGATGTTCAACTCCCCCTACCCCCAGCTCATTCTTGGCAAGTTCAGGGCTGCTGCTGTCTTCCAGGAAACACCTGATAGTGCAAAGAGGATGTCTTTGGGCTCAGCTGATTCCTTTCCAGCCTGGATTCATTCTCAAGCCAGTTCTTAATGAATGGCCCTTGTAATGGAGGTGTTAGAACTACCCACAGAACTTGTTCAAACTCATCAATGGGCTCTACCTGTGGAATTTCTGATGCAGGAGGGCTGGGGCAGCTTGCATTTCAAACAAGCTCCTAGGGGAAGGTGATGCTGCTGGAGGTCCAGGGACCACCTAAGCTCCAGCAGTTTAGCTCCTTCCATGAAAGAGACTCTTAACTTGGGGTCTGGGAATTCCCAACACACAGATGCACTTGTTCTGGGAAGAAAATCCACCACATTCCATAGCATACACAACCCAGCAGCTTTTTTTTTCTCTGTCAGTACTGGAATTTGAACTCAGGGCCTAATGCTTGCTAGGCAGCTGCTCTACCTGCCAGCCCTTTTTCGGCTGGGTATTTTCAAGATAGGGTCTCAAACTATTTGCCTGGTCTGGCTTCAAACAGCAATCCTCCTTATCTGTCTTTTGAGTAGCTAGGATTACAGAAGTGAGCCACTGTTCTACACCCAAAGGCCACCAGTAAGGGAAGTTACTAGAGCAAGTTAGTCCCATGGCATTTACTACAAACTCAAGAGTAAGTGGAGCTCTGTTGAGAGGCCCAGAAACATGTACAGGGTCCCAAAGAAGTGTCTTCCAATTTCTCCTCTGCCAATAGCCAACTAGTGTGCCCTTAGCTCCTGTTTCCTTCCCCTTGGGGGGATCCCTTTTTTATTTACACAGTAACACCAACAGGAAGCCAGTGAGGACCCCATACTAGTCTAGTGCTATTCATAGCAATTTATTTGACCTAAGCTGCAAGTGGCAGATAAGAATTCTCTCCTAAAGACTCATCTTTCTGCTCAGGCACTGGGGAAAGGGGCATCTGCCACTATTTAGGGCTAAGGGGATCAGACCTAGTGAATAGTCCTGGCCCCAGAAGCCTGGGAGGGTACAGAGGACCTCAGATGAGGGTGAGGCTGAGGATGGGACAAAGGACTCCCAGGGGAGAGTTCTGGGATATAAGGAAGGTTTTCCATGTGTCCCCAGCCCTGGGACTTATGAGGACTATGCTGGATAACTAGTAACTTCCTTAAGCAGGAAGCAGCAGCAGCATTCCTAAGGCAAAGAGGGAGAAGAAGAGGAGGGAGTGCTGTCTCTCCTCCCTAGCAGGCCGCAGCCTCTTTGTCCTTTCTCTTTGCAAGAGATCCTTGAGATTTATTTAGCACAGTGTGGAGGGTTGAGGGGGAGAGAGACTGGAGGGGAGCTGTAGAGGCTGACTCACTGTATGAACTTGCTTACGCAGTTAACTGATAACCTTTCTCCTCCATGGACTTGAATTTCCACACGAGTTTTAAAAGGGGAGGGGGTTGGGTTGAAGGCATTCAGATCCTTGCCATTCTGAAAACACTTTCCCTCTATTGCATCACCCTACTCCTTCTCTCTCCTCACCTCCTATTTACTCCAAAAGGATCTTACTGGCTTCCTGTCTCTCACACCAGAATTTGTGTTCCTTAGTGCTTAGGGCTGTGTTTGGCTAGTTGCATGGTAATGTCAAGAACACTCTGCTGAATGAATCATGTCCTCTTCCCCTACTTCTTCAACCCTCCTGTCCACTCCTTGCTCTATTACTCCCAACAGTCATTGCTGCCTTTCTCATCCTCCTAGAACGTTAGCTCCAAAGGAAGCGATTTTTGTATACCCAGAACTTTGTCTGATACAGAGTAAGCAGTCAAGAAATAGTTCTTTAACAAGGGAATGAATCCACTCCTAAAGTGGCTAACTGTCGCCTGAGGGACTGTGACAAAACATTTACCAAGATGGCAGAAAAGCAAGCTGACTTAAACACTGTTCTGGTCCAGCCCCGATTTGTATCACCAGAAACCTAACAGGACACTCCTAAGCTCATCGGGTTCAACCCCGCGCATCTAACAGGGCTAAGGATCGAAGAGGAGGAGGGGGGTTCGGCTCAAGGCCACCAAGATAGTGTTGAGCGGACAAAGATTGGAACTTCAGCTTTTGAGAAACTTCATTTCTGGAAAAAAGTTTGAGCATGAGGGCGCTAAGAGAGCTCTTGGTCCAACCTGCTGCTTTGCAGAAGCGGGGAAAGCATGGCCGAGGCGGGCGCGCTCATTACCTCGACAATCTTGATAAAGCGCGGGAACACCGGGTTGCGGGTGATGGCGATGAGCGGCAGGTGCGGGAACACGTCCGGGATGGTCATGGGCGTGAGAGCCGTTATGACCGGGCCTTCCCCGCCGCCTGCGCTACCCCCAGCGCCCCCGGCCCCTTCCTCCGCGCCGCCTTCGGGGGAATCCTCGCCGCCCGAGAATGCCCCGCCACCGCGGTTGTTCGCCTCCCAAAGCCCTCGCCACTGGCCCGCGGCCACCGGTCCTCGGCCCCAAAGCGCCCAAGGAGGCGAGGCGTCGCAGGCCCGCCAGGCTCTGGGAAGCCACGCTCCGGCCGCAGTCGGGCCCCTCCACCCGGTGGCTGCCAGCAGCGGCCGCCGCAGTGCCCAGCACCGCGCCGCACCCCACAGCCGCACGTAGCCTGTGCTCGCCGCCATGGCCCGGCCATACTAGTGGCGCACAGGACTTGCGTCATTTCCGCTTGCTGGGCAGGTGCGCACGTGACGCAGGCGTGTGTCTGGGCACAGAGGGGGCGTGGTCCGAGACAAAACGTTCCAAGGGGCGGAGCTGAGAGGGGCGGGGATCGGAGGGGCGGGGATCAGATGGGCGGGCGGGACCAACACGAGTAAACGAGGCGGGGTTTGAGTGTCCTCTTAAGCGCCACTTCTCGCCTCCTAGCTGGCGTGCTTCATGCTCTTTCGAGCCATGTAGAATATTCTGGGCTCACGACGCCGCGCCTAGCAAGAACCTGTGTTGCTACTGGCGCAACCTTGAAGATCTTGTCGCCAGCTTTGTACACACGTTTAGATGTGCGGGACACATGCACATGCTCAATCGCTGGGGAGTGAGGTTTGCGGATCCGGGTTTTCCAGGAGACGGCATGCGCATGCTCAGCTTCCAGGCATGATCCCCCCCCCATGCTTCCGAGTGCGCATGCTCAGACTGGGGACTGGCTGGTGCGCATGCTCAGGCTCCAGTTCCCTCTTTCCCCGACAGCATAGCGACTGGTTGCAGCGGTTGCGCTGCCTTGCTGGCGGCGGAGGCTCAGGCGAGATGCTGGTGTGGATGTTGGTGGCGACCGCGGCCGTGTGGCTGTGGCCGCTGGCCAGAGCTCAGCCTCTGTGCGGGTGGGGCTGCCCTCCGAGTTGGGGTGCTGCTAGCGGATTGTGGGGGGGGTGGCTGGTTCATCTCAGAGCTGAGCTCTGCTCCTCAGCCTTCTAGGGGCTTCTCACTCACCGCGCAGGAATAGACTTTGAGAGGCTTCTCCTTTCGCGCCTTCCCAGCGCATCACTCAGTCGCCCACGCATCCACGTCTACGTCGGGAACCCCTCTGGCTACCGCCCCGCCTGCACCCTGGCTTCCCCCTGGTGTGCGTTGACCAGTTCCTGAACGGATCTGATCGCGTGCTTCCCCTCCCCCGCTTCTGGGGAACCAGCACAAAACGCAACCGGCGGTCCTCGCACGGGGGTCCCGGGGGTCGCACACGAGTAGTGCTGCTGGCTTTGGGGGACGGGCTGGGGCTGCAAGTACATTGTGCACCCCTGCTCTGCACCCACTCCATGCCAGAAGTGCTTCACAGTCGCTCAGGAACGTCTCTAGGTGACCTCCCACCCCCACCCTACCACGCCACACCCGGTCACCCAGGACCTCTTTTTTTTTTTGGCTGGAACTGGGGGGTTTCAACTCAGGGCTTTGTGGTTGCAAAGCAGGCGCTCTACAAGTTGAGTCACACTTCCAGTCTATTTTGCTCTGCTTATTTTTGGAAATGGAGGTGGGGTGGGGCTCAGGAACTATTTGCCTAGGCTGGCTTCGAATCTTGATCCTTCCGATTTAAGCCTCCCAAGTAGCTAGGATTACACGTGTGAACCACTAGCACCCAGTACGTTTTTAGATCTCAGTAAATTTTACATGAGTGGATGCCCTGTGCAAACTTCCACTGGCGCCAGAAAGATGTACATGCCCATTTCTGGCTCATGGGGACAGAAGTGAACTGTTACATTCAACAAGGACCTGTTTGCTGCAAAATAGTAAAAGTGTGGCTCCATTTGATCATTACGACAGTGTGTACGCAGAGTAGGGAGTCCTTGGCCTTGTCTCAGAGATGCGCCAGCAAACCCAGGGAAGGTTTAGACACACTTGCAGAAAAGCACACAGCTTGTCTGGGGAGTAAGGATTTCGGTAAGATGTACTATTGGGATTTGTCTCAAGGTCTGATCCGATGGGTTGTAGCCAATATCTCCATTTCTCCACGTGTTCTCAAAGCGTGGTTCTTGGTCCAGCAGCATCAGGATCCCTGGGAATTGGTTGGAACTGAATAGTTATAAAATTCCCTGGACCCACTGCTCCGCCTCAGAGGGGGGGCCTTGCCAGCTATGGTTTAATCCTACCCTGCAGGTGATTCTGGCCCACACAAGAAGAGTAAGAACAGTTGCCCTAAACTGTGCCATCATTCCAGCCACCACCCAAAGAAAGAAAGTGAAAAGACAAACAGCTTGGAGCAGGACTTGGTGGCTCATGCCTGTAATCCTAGCTCTTCAGGAGGCAGAAATCAGAAGGATCATAGTTCAAAGACAGCCCAAGCAAACAGTTTGTAAGACCCTATCTCTAGGCTTGTCTGCCAGTGTCTGCAAGGGAACCTTGAGGAACTCTCACAAATTGTATGTTTTTGCATGTGCGTAGTCTGTTTCTGGGAGTATAGGGCTCACTGTTTTACCAGTTTTAAGGGGCTCCCATAACTCGGAAAGCATCAAGAGCCATTGTTTTGGGATGGGAGCATGGCTCAAGCACTAAGCAGCACTCTTGAGTTCAAGCCCAGTACTGCCAAATAAATAAATAAATAGAGTGCTTTATGGCTCTTCCAGAAGCAGCCTGACAGGAGGAATCATTTTGATAAAAACTGATCAGTGTTCTCTCTTGTCACTTACCTCTAGTACGCGCACAATTAGGACAGGAAAAGTGCTTGATTCCACACAACACCATTATGGGGTATGTGACTCCCTACGTATGTACGGTCTCCTTGTCTTTCTTTTTTTCTTTTGTCTGCTAGAGATGGAACCCCATGCTGCTAGGCAAGCATTAAGCTCCAGTCCCACACTTAGTATTTCTTGAGTACCAGAGGTGTGTTGGGTATTTACAGCTAATCTTTGAAGTAAGCATTAGTCACCACCATTTTACTAAAAACCAACTTAAGAAAGAACTAGTAAGCCAAGCAAATCCAAGAGGTAACCAGGCATGGTGGCTCACACCTGTAATCATAGCTACTTGAAAGACTGAGATCAGAATTGAAGTTTGAGGCCAGCCTGGGCAAAAAGTTTTCAAGACCCCACCTCAGCCAATGGCTGGGCCTAGTAGTGTGTGCCTGACATCCCAGCTACTCGAGGGTGCACAAATTGATCAGGATGGCCCTGGAGGACATAAATGTGAAACCTCACCTCAAAAACAACCATTTGCTCCAGGCACTGATGACTCACCCCTGTAATCCCAGCTCCTCAGAAGGCAGCAATCAGGAGGACTGTGGTTCAAAGCCAGCCCAGACAAATAGTTCGAGATAGTTTGAGACCCTATCTCAAAAATACCCAACACAAAACAGGCTGGCAGAGTAGCTCAAGTGATAGAGTGCCTGCCTAGCAAGTGTGAGGTCCTAAGTTCAAACCCCAGTACTGTCAAAAATGAAAACTAAAAATAACTACTTGATATCTGAAGGTGTGGTTCAAGTGGTAGAGCTCCTGCTTTGCAAGTGTGAAGCCCTGAGTTCAAACCCCAGTCCTAACAAAACACAAAACAAAACCATGTCCCCAAACCTTTTCGCTTTAGTTTTTTTGCTTGCTTGATTTTTTTCTTTTTCTCATCCCTAAATATAGGGTCTCTTGTTTTTTGCCCAGATCTGGCCTCAGATTGTGATCCTCATATATTTGGCCTCCCTATATCTGGGATTATAGACATGAACCACAACTCCTGGCTTATTACAGGGTCTCAAAAACTTTGCACTGGCTGTCCTAGAACTGAGATTCTCCCAAACCCCACCTCCTAAATACTGGGATTATAGTCGTGAGCCACCACCTAGCTGAAGTGTTTTTGTTTTGTTTTTTGAGGCTGGGTCTCACTAGGTAGGTAGCCCTAGGCTGAACTGCATTCCTGAGCCTTCTGTCTCTGCCACCTGACTGCTGGAACTCCAGTTGTGCATTGCCATGTCCTGATACCCTGTGATCTGTGGGCTTTTTTTTTTTTTTGGTGGTACTGGGATTTGAACTCAGGGCCTCATCCTTGCTAGGCAGGCACTCTATTTCTTGAGTCACTCTGCCAGCCCATTTTTTGTGTTCGGTGTTTTTGAGATAGCGGTCTCACTTTTGCTTGGGCTGGCTTTGAACTGCTATCCTCCTGATCTCTGCCTCCTGAATAGCTAGGATTCCAGGCGTGAGCCACCAGCACCCAGCCCCCTGTGATCTTTTACAGACTTTTTTTGGATATGATTGCAGATCCATAGTGTATTATAAAAACAGTCCAGAGCGGTCCAGAGGCTCTTCCCCAGCTCACCCCGCGGTTACATCTGACATAACACTGCATCATAAATGAAAAATGAAGCAGGGCAGGGTGGCACACACCTGTCCTGTCATCCCTACTCAGGAGGCTGAGGCAGGACAGTGAGACCCCTGCTCAAAAACAAACAGGAAAATGACAATGATACAAGCTTCCTACCTCATCCAGACTTTTCCCTTTACATACATTAGGAAATGGTTTTTATTAGCTGTGTGTGTTGTTACTGATTTTATTAAGACCTGTTATTCTTTCTCTAGGATGACCTGTATTTTTCATCCAATACAACATTCTTGATTAAACATCCTTGTAGAAAACACATAGCACTGTATCTAGGGTAAGTAGCCATTTTCTGTATTGTTCATTTTCATTATAATTTTAGAGTTGCCTTCATTCATTCAATCAATAAACAACAAAGAGTGTCTGTAGTCGGGCTAGGGTTGGAGTGAGGGAGATGAAGACACCAGTAAATAGCTACAAGTGTTACAGGATGTGCCCATAGGCTCCACATCCATGAAATAAACCAACCATGGGTCCACAAAATATTATACATATTTTTAAAAATTGCATTTGAGTCAGGCGTCAGTGGCTCACACCTATAATCCTGGCTACTTGGGAGGCTAAGATGGGAAGTGTCAAGGTTTGAGGCCAGCCTGGGCAAAAAAATACTATTCAGAATAGCAATAAAACTTTTGTTGCTGTTTTACAGTGCTTGAGACCAATAAAAACTCTGGTGAGGAAATGGTGCACCGTGTTCATGGATGGCCTTCTCTGCTTCAGTTTCCTGCATGAAGGAGCAAATTTTTTTTTACTTTAATGGGATTGAAACAATGTAAATTATAAAACTGAACTCTATCCCGTCAGTGTACGTTTGATATAATTTCATATTTGATGTGGTCATACTTTGTTTTGGTTTTTAGACAGTCTTGCTATGTACCCCAGCTGGCTGAAACTCCTGAATGCTGGGATTATAGACATGTGCCACCATGGGTGGCCCCACTTTTGAAATAATGTTATTTCAAGAAACCAAACACCCAGGCTATAAAGATTTACTTAGACCAAATAATAGATAATGGTTGCTAGCTAAGCAGGAATTTTGTCTGAATGGAACATTTTTAGAGTACCACCTTTGTCTTTTGTCTTTTCTTGTGTGAAATTATCCTAATTTGATTTTCTGTTGTTTATTTCAGAGCAGACATTTTTTTCACAAGAGATAACTTTGAAAGCAGTCTCACTCCATTTTCCATCCCAGAGTCAATGGAGGTACTTATCTTACCAACCAGCATCCACGCTGCTTAAAATAAGTAATATCTAGGGGAAGATATAGTTCAGAAATGTCAGTCTCATGTGCTCTGTTAGCTTACGTTTGTTGTACAGTGGGCCTCTCAAAGATGTTAAGAATGTGTCTTTTGCAACCAGATGCAGTGGCTCACACCTGTAATTCTAGCTGCTTGGGAGTCTGAGATCTGCAGGATTGCTGTTCAAGACCTGCCTGGGCAAAAAGTTCATGAGATCCCTTCCCCATCTCAGCCAATAGCTGGGCAGGTGGTGCGTACCTGTCATTCCATCTACATGGAGAAGTGCAAACAGGAGAACTGAGGACCAGGCCAGCTTAGGCACACAGTGAGACCCTATCTCCAAAATAATCAAAACAAAAAGGGCTGGGGATGTGACTCGTGGTAGAGCCTGCCTAGCAAGCATGAGGCCCTGAGTTCAAACCCCAATACTACCCCCCACCAAAAAAAGTCACTTGTAAGCCAAAAGAAGGTTGGTTTATTCTGTTTCTCCTTCTAGAATGACTTTTTCTTTGAGAGAGAGGAGACAGCACAGTTGCTAATCACTTTTCCTCACAAGGCATGTGTCACACGGACATGCACTGCATTGGGTTCATTTTACTGGCAGTAAGGCCTCTCTAAATTGTCCTATGAAAGCAGAAAAATCAATGCTCTCAGTTACCATCTGGACAGATTGTCTCATTGGCACCAACGCTGAAGAAAGTTTTGTCATCCATTAAAACACCAATGCTGCTTACCTTTTTTCTCTTCTTTTTTTTTTTTTTTTTTTTGGTGGTGCTCGTGTTTGAACTCAGGACTTCATGCTTGCTAGGCAGGTGCTCTACCACTTGAGCCAGCTCAAGACAAGGTCTTACTATGTAGCCCAGGCCAGTCTTGAACTCATGAACCTCCCATCTCGGCCTCCTGTGCTAGCATGACAGTGTGCCCTGCCATACCCAGCTACCAGTGTTCCTTCTAAATGCCACATTTATCAGCCACACTGCTTGTTCCTCATTTATACTTTTGGGCTGTGTCCCCAGAGGTTTGATAAGGGAGGAGGGTATGGAGTGAATTTAGATTTAAAAAAGGCAGCAAAAACCAACGTCATCTCCCTAACTTTGTGTCTATCCTGCCCCAGGTCCAGAGTTCCCAATATCTGAGAACCAACCAACCAGAGTGGCAGAGTAGTTAAGGTGTTAAGAGTGCTTGTTGGGTTCGCATGCAGAAGTATTGCTTTCAGAATCGATGTCTAACATGATACAGTTGTAAGTCTGGTTCACATCATTTTCTTCAGGTGGGCAATCCAGTAGTAACATCAGCACATTTTTCTGATAGGATCCTGCTGTTAGTAGTGAATCAGAAAGTCTACATTTATGACTACCTGGACAATATCTGGGACGAAGCTGAAGGTATGCCTGTTTTCTATTATTATTTTGTTTGAAGTTAGCCAATGTCGGAGAAGACGTTATAATTTCAAAAGGATAAGTGATAGTTCTCCTTTGTGTTGGCATCCTGGGTGTCACCTGATCCTTTAAGATCCAAATGAAAATGATTTGGAAGCTTCATCCCCTAAGGTGGGAAGCTAGTGTTTTGCTATAAGTTACATGAAATGAACAAGAGATACCAGCCAGAGGGGGCAATGAGACCTTAGGGGAGAATCTGAGAGTGCCAAGAATAGCTCCTAGATGTCTGTTGATCTGGCTGGGAGAGTATGTGACATTTGGGCGACAGAACAGAAAAGGAGGAATGGAGAAAATCCTAATGCAGAGAGGGTGGGAATGGGATTGAGAGCAGACAGGGAGATGCCGGCTGCAGAAAAGCAAAGGGATGATCTGTTGATTCCTGGAAAGGAAGGAGGGACAGTGCCCAGTGTTTTTATTGTGAGGAAGGAGTTCCCATTCAACAGCTTCCCTCCCCTTCTCAGCCCTGGGCAGACACAATCTCTGTGGACCTCCCATGAGTGGCCTCCTGCAGTGTATGTCCTGTGCCTGCTCATTTCACTGAGCATCATGTCCTGAGGGTCCATCGTGCCTATCAGAATGGCCTTCCTTTTCATGGCTGAGTAATACTCCATTGTATAGATGGGCCACATTGTATTCACCCACTCATGGATACCTTAGTTGTTTCCACCTTTTGACTTCTGTGGCCTGTGCTGTTGTGGACATACATGTACAATTGTCTCTCTGAGACCCTGCTTGCAGTTCTACTAGGTGTGAAATCAGAAACCACATTGCTACAACATGTGGTAATCTACTTAATTTTTTGTGGTGGGACTGGGATTTGAACTCAGGGCTGCACACTTGAAAGTAGGTGCTCTACCACCTGAGCCGCACCTTCAGTCCATTTTGCTCTGGTTATTTTGAAGATGGGATCTCAAGAACTGTTTGCCCAGGCTGGCCTCAAACCACCATCCTCCCACTCTTAGCCTCCCAAGTAGCTAGTATTATAGGCCTGAGCCCTGACACCCACCCCAATTCTTTTTTCAGTACTGTTTTTTTTGTTGTTGTTGTTGTTTTTTAATTCATGGCTTTGTACTTGCTAGGCAGGCACTCTTCCACTGGAGCCATTCCCCCAGCCCTTTTTGCTTTAGTTATTTTTCAACAGGGTCTCATGCATTTTGTCTGGACCTCTATCCTCCTACCTATACCTTCCATTGAGTTTGACATCTGGGACAACAGATGTGAGCCACCACACTCAACTTGTGCTTTGAGATGGAGTCCTGCTAACTTTCATTTTGCCCAGGCTGACCTCAAATGGCAATCCTGCTGTCTCCACTTCCTAAGTAGCTGAAATTACAGCTACTTGACAGTGTTTTCAGACAGCGTCTCTCCCCTGTTCAAGGCTGAACTTGAACATGTGATCCTCCTGCCTCAGCCTCCTGACTATTGGGGTCGAAGATGTGGCTACCATATCTTTATGGTTTTGGTTTGCTTTTTCCCCATGACCAGTGAGGCCCAACATCTTTTCCTGTTCTTCGGAGGAGCTTCGGGGGTTTTTTGTTTTGTTTTGTTTCGTGGTACTGGGGATGGCCTCAGGGCTTTGCTCATGCCACACCCCAGCCTGAGTTTGGCTTTTCCATTCAGTGAAAGTGTACCTTGCTAAGACAAGAGAGCCTTGGCACAACTTTGACAGGGCCTGAAAGTTTCTGCCAAACTAGTGGGCCTTAAACCCAGGACACTTGGTTGTGTCTGGAGACATTTTTGTTCATCAAGATTAGTGGAAGGCACTCCTGTCATGGACTTGGAGAGGTAGAGTTGCCCTGAAACATCCTACAAGGCACAGAGAAGCCCCAGCAACTCAGAGTGACCTGACCCATGTGTCAGCTGTGTTGCTGTCAATGCTTTCGAGAAACTCATGGTCTAACATTGTTCTCTGAACCTCAGAGTACTGATGCTATATGTGTCTCTCTGTGTGTGTATGTATGCATAGAGAGAGAGAGAGAGAGAATTTTGATTTTAAAGTATTTTTTTGCGGCACTGGAGTTTTGAACTCAGGCCCTTATGCTTGTTAGGCAGGCACTCTTACAGCTTAAGCCCTCATTTAAAAATATTTTAATGGCCTTTTCCTTCCAGGTATACAGCACCCTGTCTCACATGTTACTGGTGACAACTGTTGTTATAGTTTAAACAAGTTGTGCACGGTAAGTGCAGTGTGGAGTCTTGCATTTCTTACTGTACTCCAAAGACACAGAATCACAGCGGGGTGCCAGTGGCTCTGTTGTAGAAATATTGTCAGCTGAAAAACCAAGCGACACTCAGAGAAGTAGGAGAACTTGGATTTTTTATTTTATTTTATTTTATTTTATACCAGTGGTCCCAGATGAGCTTGTACTCAAAATTCTGAGCCCCCAGCAGTGAAATCACAGGATTTTTAAAGGGCTGTGCAGGGGATCAGGTTACAGGGAATGTGCTGGTTGCTAATAGGTGGGTTCACACTGGAGTTAGGGACTCGGGGTTGTTTAGGTAGGAGCAGCAGGGGGCATGTTTTGGAAACTCTGCTTACAGAGGGAGACAAAAAAAGGTGGGAATGGGCAGCAGTGTTTGCAGAAGAAGACAAAGGAGAGGCGGGAATGAGAGGTAATCTCTGCATGGGGCCTTTTATCTTGCCTCTGGACTCATTTTATGGCTTAACTGGCAATTTCTCCTGTTTCATAACCTGCTTTGAGGCAATTTCCTACTCATTCCCCCCTTTTGATGCTTTTCCTACTTGTGGACAAGCATCAACCCTAGGTTCCTGGGACTCTATCGGGTTCCTCCTGTTCCAAGGGTCTGTATTAGCTCACCAAGAGCTGTAACTTTATTGCTTCCATTCACGAGCTAATGAAGTGAGTTATGGCATTGAGTATGCAAGGGACGAATACAAGGGCCAATAGGAGCATGAAAAGTGGACCAGCCAAAGGGAGTAGCCATGAGGCCCAGTTCCAGATGCAGCTCCATCTGTTCCAGGAATTTGCTAATTCCTGTCTCCTACATGTGACCTGGTCCTGTAGTTGCTGAGCCAGGTCTCTGACTATTCCTAACTGGTTCACACAAAAGGAACATTCTTCATTTAGGAAAAGGCATAGCCCCCCCTTTTTCAGCAGTGAGTAAGCCCAACCCTCTCCAATTTTGGAGGGCCGCTGACTCTAGGGAGTCCCTCTGGTCCTGCGTGGTCACTATGGACCTAGCCACTTGTTCTATGTCATTTGTTAGGTCCACAGATAATTGATTATAGTAGGAGGCTGATGAGGCAGTCCCTCCTATGCCTGCTCCTATTCCAGCCGTGATCCCTAATCCAGTTAGTAAAGGTAAGAATTGGATAGCTCTCTTTGTCTGTGTGTGGGCCATCAAAGGTACAGGGAGGGTCTGATCATTAAGCACTATGTTTATCTGGGGGGTGAAGAGTGCTAATGTGCCAAAGCTTTTCCATATAGCCAGCGAGCACTGATAAGCAAGGGTCCCACATACAAAGAAGGTTCCTGGGCTGCTGCACCATGGTCCGTCAACTGTACATCTAATGGCAGTGGCTGTACAGTTTTGGGTTTGGGCACATTGACTAGCAGCCAGTTCCCCCACTGGATGGTATCCTCTTGAATTGTAGATACAATTAGGGGCTGGGTTTCGTGCTGGTAGAGTTGGGAGCAGCACCATGCACGCTCTGGTTAAGGGGCTTACTGGGGCTGCTATATAATGGAGGGGATCTGAGGACAGGCAGAGCCAACAGTCACACTCCAGTGGTGGGTTAGTAAGATTAAGGAGACAGTGAGTTGTGTTTAACAGGTTGTACAGTTGGGGTTCCAAGTTAAAGTTCCCTGCCCCAGAAGGAAGCCTTAATGGGGGTCGTGGTGGTGGCAGATCGATGTCTTTTATAGGCTTGTAACCATCTAGGTAATCATCTCTGGATGGCCTCTCTGTATCTGCAGCTTTTACCCTCTATAGACTGATATGGGGGACAGGGTAGATGGGGGGGATGCCCAGACATAGCAAGGTTTATTTCCTCCCCCTGTCATTTCATCATTCCATGCCTTTAAGGGGTCCACGTCTCTCTTCCAGCAAACTGTTTGCCCCATAGTGCCTTTTTTTCTTGCAGGATCCCGTCAGGCCTGTCAGTTTTCCTTATAGTAAATTGTCCCTTCTCTGGTACATTCAGAAATTGATGTGCTGCATGCAGGTGACAGGTATTGGTAATAGGTGAAGGCATATTGTAGTTTTCCCTGGAAGGACAGAGATTTTATGCAAGCTGAGCAGTCATTCTGGCCTCTAGATGGGACAGCCTTAAAATGTAATAGAGTCAGGAGGCAAAAACACATCAGAGACCTCATGCCTGAGACTGGGGTCTGGGCTACAGATAGCACTGAACAGCAGTAAGGCTTCCTACTATGAGGAAATAACAGGAGGCCAGCTGTATTCTTTGGCCTACATTCCAATCCTGGGGAGCAGTGACAGCCAGTCCTAGTGTGAACAGTGTTACAACAATGCTAATCAGCAGGATGGGGTAAGGGTGGCAGAAGGGGATACATTTAAGTCCTGGTGATCGAATTCTCAGGCTTTCACCATCCGTTGACCAATCAGCTTCTGGGAAGTGGCTGGAGCAGGGCTGGTGCTCTCTCGAGCAATGGCGTGCTGTTGTGACGTCCTCTGGAACCTTAATTTGAGAAGGTTAGTTGGGTCACAGAGAGCCTGCCAGTCGTTAGGGTCTGCAGGAGCGGCTGCCTTCTTCATCCCAGAGTGATGAATCCAGGGAGTGACACCTGTGACTTTAACAGCCGTGGGAGTTGCTAGTATTACTAGATGGGGACCCATACAACTGGGTTGGAGTGACTCCTTTTTCCTATCTTTTACCCATACCATATCCCCAGATTGGTGGGGATGGGCCCAGTTACCCATGGGGATTAGTGTCCTGTCTAAGACTTCCCGGGAGATGTAGCATAGGATTTTTCCTAGGGCTTGGAGATGTCGGGACATGTCTCGATTTCTAATTTGCCTGAGGTCCCCTCTGAGCCTGTTTATATTATGGGAGAGGGTCTGCCATAGAGACTTTCAAAGGGTGAGTAGCCAGAGGGTCTAGAGGTACAGTGTGCCCTGAGCAGGGCCAATGGTAGCATGTCTATCCAGGGGGATTGTGTCTCTTGGCAGAGTTTGGCTAAGGTAATTTCAAGGGTCCAGTTCAGGCACTCTACTTTCCCTGAACTCTGAGGCTTGCATGCTGTGTGGAGCTTCCATTTTATTTTCAAAATTTTAGCCAGGCCCTGGACTATTTCCGCCATGAAGGCTGGTCTGTTGTTTGATCCAGTGGAAAGGGGGAACCCACATCTGGGGATAATTTCTCTTAAAAGGGCCTTTACTACTTCTCATGTGTTCTCTGTGTGTAGGGTAAGCCTCAACCCATCCTGAGTAAATACAGACAAGAACCAAGAGGTACCAGTATCCTAGACAGGACTCTGTGAAGTCCACTCCCAGATCCTCAAAAGGCACGGTGCCCGTTGTTTGTATCTCAGGGCTTGACTTAGGCCCTTGACTTGCATTGTTTTGTGCACATGTAATGCACCTTGCACTTATTTGGACACCCAGGGTGGGGAGCTTGGGAATGAAATAGTTTTTGTCCAGCAGTTTTTCCAGGGCCATTTTCCCCAAGTGTGTTAGCTCATGTTGTTTTACCAGAGGGGTAACTACAGCACTGGGGACAAAATTCTCTTTGGTCAGGCAACTTCCACCAGCCCCCCTGTTCTTATTTATTCCTTTTTCATCTTTTGCCCATTGTTCTTCCTCCTTGGTGTAATTTGGGGAGAGAGGCAGCTCTGGAGGCAGGAGAAGTTTGGCAGTTTGCTTCAGCACTCCAGGGGAGCTTAGCTCTTCTGCTGCCCTCCTTGCTGTCTTGTCAGCCAGGCTGTTCCCTCTATTGATGTAATCAATGCCCCTTTCGTGGCCTCTGCAGTGAATAATAGCCACGTGAGATGGTTCCCAGACTGCTTCCAGCAATTGGAGGATTTCGTCTTTGTTTTTAATCTCTTTTCTCCATGCTATCAGCAGTCCTCTTTCCTTGTATGTTGCTCCATGCACATGCAGGGTGGCAAAAGCATGCTTAGAACCTGTGTAGATGTTCACGCGCTTTCCCTTTGCATATCATAATGCCTGGACAATCCCAGGTTCAGCTCACTGTGCGGCCCATCCTTGTGATGGGGCTTTAGCCTCTACGATGTCATTAGCAGTGGTGACTGCAAACCCGGCCTTTTGCCGTCTACCCTGAACCAAGCTGCTTCCATCCATGAAGAGTTCAAGCTCTGAATCTGAAAGGGGGGCGTCTGTTAGGTCAGGCCTGCTGGAGTACACTTCGTCCATCACCTCTTCACAGTTCTGATCTGGAGCCCTTCCTCTGTCAGCAGGAAGGTGGCAGGATTTAAAGTTCGTACAGTCTCAAGCCTGACTCGATTCCCACATGAGGATTTTTCTTGGTAATGGGCCGTTCTGGAACTGGTCAGCCATTTAGAACCCTGCCCATTCATTAGAGCCATGACTGCATGGGGGACCTTAACATTAGTGTCCTGTCCCAGGGTGAGCTTTTCAGCCTTCCTGGTTAGGGTTACCAGGGCAGCCAGGGCTCAGAGACATGGAGGCCACCCCGAGGCCACTGGGTCCAAGTGCTTTGACAGGTAAGCCACTGGCCGCTGCCATGGACCCACCATTTGAGTGAGGACCACCAGAGCTGTGTGATTTTTCTCGCAGATGAAGAGATTGAATGGTCATGTTACATCCAGCAGCCCTAGTGCAGGGGCACTTGTTAACAGTTTCTTTATCTCCTGGAAGGCCTTTTCTTGGTCTTGTCCCCAGTTTATAGGGTACTTTCTGGAGCCTGGGTGGCCTTGTAAAGTGGTTTGGCCAGGTTTGAATCCAACTATCCACATACGACAGAATCCTGCCACTCTCAAGAATTCTCAGACCTCCCTTTTGGTCTTTGGCTGTGGGATGGAGCAGGCGACATTTCCTCTCCAGACTTAGAGCACATCATCCTTCTGAGATGACGAATGCGAGGTATCAGACTTCTTGCTGGCAAACTTGGGCCTTTTTCCAGGAAACTTTGTAGCCTGTCTCGGAGAGTCGAGCTAGCAATGCCTTTTCCCCCTCCCTGCGCTTCTCCCAGTTGTGGCTTGCCAGGAGCAGATCA